AAAGATTTTCAGGCTGCATTTGAGTACCTGGTGCAATTATTATGCAATCATAATAATAATTTGTGTGATATTTGCTGGAATAACGCCCAAACGTAAGGAGAAATTATTTATACATTGATGCATTTTATAATCTAGAGCATACATAACAGGATAGCATTGAACATCAGAAATGTTATTTTTCCTGCAGGATACACTTCTGGGCCATGTTGTTAGGCCACATGGAGTAAATGTGTAATATCTACTATGTATATATCGTGACAGCAACATAACTTGACAGATTCAGCACCAGGTCACTTGTCCTTTGGGGAGAGTACACATACAACCTTCAGTCTGTCAAGTGTCTTAACTCTCATAAATATGAAACCTGAAGATTCCTTTTATGAAGCCTCTCAATATGAACAACGGAGAATTTAGAGTGCTGCCTTTCTACCAACCTTGATTAGTAGAAAAGTCTGAACTGTCTGAAGGAGCAATCTCTGTAGCTACTTTCGTGCTTGGAATATATATATAAATAATAATAATCCTTGAATTTACATAGGTGAAACATCTCAAAGCGCTTCACAGAATATACTGTAAAGTGTAGTGACTGTGTGTTTTGTGGGCGAAATGCAGCAGCCAATTGAGCACAGCAACGTCCCACAAACAGTCGTGGATTGAAGTGACCAGATTATTATTTTTTTGAAGGAATTATTACCCCTGCCCGGAAAAGCGCTTCGCCAATCGACTAACGAGTGGATTCCTACTTACTGCTAGCTAAACAGAGGTGTTTATGGAAACTTGCCCAACGTTTCAATCTGTTCTGTCCCACCTCGGAATCAAATCCGGGTCCTCTCGCTTCCGAGGCGAGTGCGCTAACCGCTGAGCTACAGGACTCGATAATGATCTTAACTCCCGTAATGTGCGCGAGGATTCCTGACTGAGTTGGGGGGGTAGCTGGCTGGCTGTGCTCTGCTCTCTGCACTCTCAGGGTTGATCTCTCCTGCTCGCTTGCTGTTGGGTCTTTCACTTTCTCCCTAACTTCAGCCGCTCTCGTTCTTCCGCTTTCACGTTCGCTCTCTCTCTCGCACTCTAGTAAATGTACCCGTTTAATTGTTGTCTGTGGGTTACAGAAGGAAGGAGGGGTAGAGTGAGGGGAAGTGAGGAGGAATGGGTTGCAGAGTGGGGGAGGGAGGGAGATGGAGATGGAATGAAGGAATAGAGAATTTTATGTCCAAATTTACAGATGGCACAAAGTTAGGAGGCACAGTAAATTATCTAGATTTAACCCGTAACCCAAATTATTCATAATTTCATAACCCAAATTATTTTTTTTAAGGAATTATTACCCCCGGAAAAGTGATCCGCTAATCAATTAACAACTGGTTTCCTACTTACGGCTAGGCAAATAGAGCTGTGTGGAGTAAAAAACTTGCCCAACTTTTCGCCCTGCCCGGGAATCAAATCCAGGTTCTCTCGCTTGCGAGGCGAATGCTCTAACCACTGAGCTACAAAAATCCAGAACATAGGGGCATAATCTTGAAATTACAGCTAAGCCATTTAGGAGTGAAATTAGGAGGCAGTTTTTCACCCAAAGGGTAGTGGAAATCTGGAACTCCCTCAAAAGGCTGTGGATGCTAGATCTATTCACATTTTCAAGACAGAGGGAGGTAGATATTTGTTAGTTCAGGGTATTAAGGGATATGGGGACAGGGCGGGTAACTGGCCTTGAGGAGATCAGCCATAATCTTATAGAATGGCAGAACAGGCTTGACAGGTTGAATCACCTACATCTGTTTCTATGTTTCCATGGTTCTTGATGTTTGGGCATTAGACAAAATTATATTATTATGTTTTATCTTCTATTTATCTTCAATGCTATAAGCCCTCAATGGGAAGCATTTGAAGCTTTATCTAGAAAAGTCAACCTCTCTAGCCCAATCCCAATTTATAGTGTAAAATTATACAATACAATTCACATTTACATAACTCATTTCACATCGGGAAGACTTGTCCAAGTCCTTGAACCTGTCGGACCTTATGGCAGGCAAATAGGACTGAGCACATTTATAGATTCAACAGATTAGGAAGAAGCCATTTTGCCACTTGTCCACTGGAGTTAAATATTATTCCAATCTTTTCACAGTTATTTAGTTTAACATGTTCCTGTAATGGGCATCTGGTTTAGCAGTTTTTTTTTTACAAAATTGGCTCCAGGTGTGGATACTAGTACAATGTTTATTACTAGATTTCCTTAATCATTTTTGTGTCTGATTGATTTGTTTCAATGCATAACCAGGCCTCAGGCTAAAAAGTGGACAAAATGCAGAATTATCAGAAAAGGAAGTTGGAATTAACGTTGGCTGTGAAGGAATAGATCATCTGTCATCAATGACAGTGATCTACATTGTATTTTAGCAAATACATATTGGCCAAATGGAACTTCAGTTTTATCCAGAACATCAGAATGTGTGTGTGTGTGTGGGGGGGGGGGGGGGGGGGGAGGGGGGGAGGGGGGATGGATGGGGACTAGTGGGGGGAAGCTGTGGAAGGGTAAGTAAAAGCTCCCACCTCCATCGCTGAGAGCTGACATCTTTTTGGTTAATGCTTTGTTTATGTTGGATGTTCATTGATGAGTTACAGTGATTCAGCAGTATTGCCGCAGAAGAAACAGAAGCTCCTTCAATGTGAATTGTGCTGCAACTCTGCCCCTGACATCGCCTAGAGGAGGTGGTTTCAAGGGCAGTGTGATTAAAACCGATGAGGTTTAAAGTCTAAACATGTCAGTATGAATTGCCCTTCCTACACTGTTCCTCAAACCAAGACGTGATAAGGCACTATATCAAAATGCAAGGATTGTTATTATAGACTCTGAGATTGATGTTCGATCAAGTAAAGTTCCGGAGAGTTAACCTGCAGGATTCGCTATTTATGAATCTTGTCCTCAGTTCAGTCATAAACCCATATCATTCCTGCTTGCTAGGTGGGGTTGCAGGTGTGAAATAGAGCTACCAATGATGGCAAGTTTTAAATACAGAAGAAAGTACAGACTGGGAAAAGCACATTTGCCCCATAAATGTTATAATTTAATACTACTAATAATAATATTAAATACTGTTCTTTCCACGAACTACACTGATGCCATTTGTTGAGCCTCTCGGGTTTCTATGTTGGGTGAGTAAGTGAGAATTCTCTCAGAAGTTGGATAAACATGTCATACGATACAATCCCAGAAATCGGAGCACAAACCAGCCATTGGGCCATTAGGCCAATGCTGGCCCATTAGTTACTTGTAGCAAAGTATTCCTGTTCTGACAAACCTCTGTATGAACAAGTTTCTTCTAATCTCCTCTTTAACTCTTCCTGTGAATCCTGAGCATATACCCCCTTGTTATTAATTCACCAACCAAGAGGCGTAAACATTGGCTATTTATCTTCTCATAAACCTTAAGAATTTTCAAGTTTTGTACCAGAATCCCTCTTAACATTTTCTGCTCCATTGAAATTATACATCAAAGTATATAGTGAGTTGTATATTCAAAATATCAACACCCTCTGTTACGCAAACATGAACACCAGTTAAACTACTTCAGTCATGTTCTCAACAGTAATAACAACAAAAAAATCAAGGTAGTGCTCTCTGTGGCTGCAATCCTGAAGAGCACAGAATGTCTTATTGGTAAGCATTGCATCTCCCCTCTCTCATCACCTGAGCATGATTGTTCCTGGCATCACTTGCACCAGTCAGACACAAGTAACCAAACATTAGTATTTGTGGACATTTTATCTGCAGTTAATTTACAGGACTCTTGTGACCACACACTGCAAAAGCAGTATTAATACATGATATACACACCCATCACAATTTAAGTTGATGATCTCCCTTGGATGCAATCCTGAAGAGCTTCTTAGTAAGCCCAAAATCTCCCTTCCCCTTTTCATCATCTGAGCAGGATCGTGGTACCTGGAATAATTGATAAGATTACATTTGTGAAATGTTGCAACTACGTACATTTTTCACATCACTAATCAGAAATAAATCTATTACTGGAATTGCGCAAAGTTCTGTCTATTTGTAACACCTACAAAGCAATTTACTCGATATAGTAGATTTGATAAACCTGACAGAACAATTTATTTTGAAGTGTTGAGGTGTTCCACAAAGGCTTTATTTACCTCCTTCATATTAGGCTTGTTTGTTGTTGCACACATGCCTGAAATGTCTCATAGTTTTAGCCCTGAGATCAATGTTGTGAACATTTTAAGATTAGCTGAATTGTGCAGAATTTTGGAGAATTATTTTGGAAGTGTATTTTTAACGGAAGTGCAGAAAACAGCTAGGTTTAGAAATGTTAAGGCTCAGGGGAGTGCCTGACTGCTAAACTTAATGAATATTTAGCTGTTTCTACCACAGCCACTATTAGTGCCAAGACAGACAATGAGAAAATAATGTTTAACAAAGGGAGGAATGAATAAGTAAAATAATGTTTAGCAAAGTGGTTTAATTATATGTTCCAATCATATTGCACATTTAGAGGCAAAACACAATCACAGCACATCCTAAATCCAATTTAATAGACTGAGAAAAATGTTAGTTTCAGACACTGGTCCCTATCCTCTGAAACCCAGAAATAAGCTAGCAATGTGACACTTCCTTCTATTGACAGCTCCTGAAGGTTATGAGTGACCTACTCTGCAGTGGACATGGCCACAGCACAAATGTGGCTGATTATATGTGGCCCTCTCCTCTCTCAGACAGGCTAATGATTCTTCAAAGGGATGGCTTGCTTCATTACTATGATAATGAAAAGGAATAATAAATTTCAGCTCATCCATCCATCTTCCCTTGTTACATAGTTAGATGCAAAGTGGGAAACTGATCTACTTTATTGGATTGTCAAGACTCAAGACTCAAGAAAAGCACAGTCCAGAGTAATTTATTCTTAAAAATACTGTATTCCAAAGATAAACTTTGTCTGATGACTGCAGACTGCCGTGTAACATGAATTACTCTGCTCTTTCAGGTTCTCTGGCATGCAGCCCTCATGTCTCTGAACTGTCACTTAATTCACACGGAGGTCCTGGCGTTCAGAACCTCTCACTGTCTCCGAGCCTGAGCCCAGATGGCAAGCAGCACTCCCCGTTGATGACTCCACTGCTAAATGACGCGGCATATGTCAAGACTGATGATGAAGAGGAAATGAGGAGAAAGGTATGGGTTTAATTAGCACATAGCACCCTGCTGCTATCCCAGCAGCTAACTATGTCACAGCAGCATATAGTGAGAACAGTTTGCTGCAGCAAATCCTGTTTCAAGGCATCTTAGTCAAAATACACTCCCGACAAATTTGTAACGAAAGTTATACACCTTCATTTTGGATGCTTTTCAGTGTATTTTGTAACAGAGAATTGAACAATATTAAAACATATTGACAGGGATTTTATTGAGGAATGGCAAGTTCACAGGAGAGGCATTTAAAAGGGAGTTAGATGTGGAAGAATAGCATTAGAATGAATAGAGCATGGAATCGGGATTAGGATAGATGTCTTAATTGGAAGAGCAAACAGTGACACTAATACCATAGGTAGAAGCCCTCTCTCTGTGTCGTAGATTCTAGGGCTCCCTGGTTTCAGCATCTTGGGAGTCCTCCCGATGTGAAAGGCGCTATACAAATGTAATTTTGTTGTTGTTGTTGTTGTTGTTATTGTTTCTATGGAGAAATGGAATGGCTAATTTGTTATACATTCATAAACCTATCCACTACATTAGCTAAGAATAATAAACATAAAGGTACGTCTTTTTGAATGAAAAATCAAACAGTAACTTGCTTTTCCTGAAAGGAAAATTGAGAAGCCAGATACACCGCAATGTTTTTTCCTGGTCCTGCGCATTCCTATCTAAGTAAATGAGCCCAAATGGTAACATAAGAAAACAGAAGGAGGCCATTCAATCTATCCCATTAGTTACCCACTATACCATACCTCTACGGCCCAACTACATATTTGAGTCAACAGTAAATACTTATACAGTTGCCACAGATTTAATGGCAGAGTAGCCTGGAAGGTCTGAATGTCTTCCTCCTTTTCTTATTGTAACTGTGAACCCTGATTCACAACTGCAATATTTGGGCTGGAGAAGCCCAGACCATTGTGCCATTCCTTTTTCCTCTATCCTGACTCCATTAAGTGAAATCAGCCATTTAGTGCAGGGACCTTTTGTGGTGTTCACTCCTTACTACATGTTTCTAATTTATAACCTCCAAGCTCATTACGTTTAGGACTCTTCATCACAACAGCAGCAAAATTACATTTGTATAGCGCCTTTCACGTCAGGAGGATGTCCCAAGATGCTGGACAATCAATGTTTCGAACCCAAGCTGGGGGTCAGGATTGGGGAGGGTGGAGGGCAGAGGGGGAAGGAGGGTGACTGAACGTATGGTCGAAGAGGAGGGTCTTGGGACAGGTCTTGAAGGAGAAAAGGGAGGGTGTGAGACGGAGGTACTGTCGGATGGAGTTCCAGAGGATGGGGGCAGAGTGTCAGAAGGCCCGCCCGCCAATGGTGGGGCAGGCAAGGCAGGTGATGTGGAGCAGGCCAGAGACCACTGAGTGGAGAGAGCGGGCAGGTTGGTAGGGGGGGTTAGGATGTCACAGAGGTAGGCGGGAGCAAGACCATGGAGGGCTTTGAAGGTGAGGACCAGGATCTTGAACTGTATGCTCTGCATGAAGGGAAGCGAATGCAGTCGGGCAAGGATTGGGGTGATAGGGTCGCGGAGCCTGGTGCGGGAGAGGACACGGGCTGCAGAGTTATGGATGATCTGCAGCCTGTGGAGAGAGGAGTTGGAGAGACGGATAAGCAGGGAGTTTGCATAGTCAAGTCCGGATATTGTGAATGTATGTATGAGGGTCTCAACGGCCTGCGGTGTGAGACAGATGTTGCAGGGGTGGAGGAAGGCAGAGCGGGTTATGGCACGGATATGGGGTAGAAAGGGTCAAACAAGACTCCAAGATTCCGAACTGGGTTAGCAAGGTGGAGTGTGTATCCTTGGATGGTGATGCTGTCAGCGCCTGAGGTGTGAAGGTGCTTACAGGAGCCAATCAGGAGAGCCTCGGTCTTGTTGACATTCAACTGAAGAAAGGTAGCTCTCATCCAGGACTCGATGTCTGACAAACATTCTGTCAGGTCAGGTTGCGGAGTCGAGGGTGGAGGCAGAGAGATAGAGTTGGGTGTAATCCGCATACGTGTGGAAGTTGACCCCATGTCTAAGTATTATGTCACCGAGGGAGGATACAGATATTGAAAAGGAGGGGACCAAGGATAGAGTCCTGAGGAACTCCGCACGAGATGGTGCAGGGGCTAGAGGAGAAACCGTTTGTGAAGATGAAGTGGAGATGGTTGAGATGTAGCATCTGAATCATTCAAGGACACAACCATGAAAGTTGAGGTGGGTGGAGGAGAATAGAGTGGTCAACTGTATCAAAACCAGCAGAGAGGTCAAGGAGGATAAGGAGGCAGAGGGAGCCCTGGTCACAGATGGACAAAATGTTGTGTGTCACTTTGACTGAAGCTGTTTCTGTGCTGTGTGCGGCATGAAAATCCGATTGGACGGGTTCGTGAAGACAGTGGTGGGAGAAGAAGGAGTGATGCTGGGAAGAAAACAACTCATTCCAGCGACTTGGAAAGGGAGGTTGGAGAGGGGGCAGTAGTTTGAGAGCAGGGACAGGTCCAGAGAGGGTTTTTTAAGGAGAGGAGTGATGACGGCTGTTTTCAAAGGGTGGGAATGGTGCAAGTTGACAGGGAGAGGTTTGTGAATAGGGGCACAAGGAGATGGAGCTGGGAGGTAAGGAGAGGGTTAGGGATGGGGGTTGAGGGAGCAGGTGGTCAGGTTCATTGGGTTATGGTTGTGGTAAGAGAGGAGGGGGAGATGGGTTCAAAGGTGTGGAGGGAGGGATGGGTAGGGAAAGGGGTGTGAGAGAGACATGGGGAGGGGGTAGTGGTTAGAAGGGCAGAGACAGCTGAGCAGATCCCCACAATTTTGGTTTCAAGTCTAGCATCTCCTCGCAGTTGGCGTTGGAGAGAGGATGAGCCAGGTGTGAAAGGGTGGGCGGAGGAGCCAGTTGATGATGGAGAAGAAGAGCCTGGGATTGTCCTTGGCCTCCAAGATTATCTTGGAGTAAAAGGACGATTTAGCAGAGGTGAGGGCGGAGCGGTAACATTTGATAAGGTCCAGCCAGATCTGCCAATGGACCGTTAAGTTGGATTTGAGCCAGGTGCGTTCAACGGCCCACATCTGAGCCTTAAGGAGCGGAGGTGGTTGGTGTACCAGGGTCATCATGAAAGAAAGAAAGGTCATACCTTCAAGAAAGGTCATGCCTTCAGTGACCTTCCTGGTTACTTCTCCTGCCCTCTGTCCACACTATGTTTGAACACAGAACTAAGAGGTGAATGGCCTTGTGATATGCTTTTGTAACATTCAATCTCCTGCTCCTCTGTCACATTCACAGAGCAATGTCAGATGAAAGTAATTAAAGAAAATGAAATGGAATGACACGCTTTCAATTTAATAAAGCCTCAAAATCGTAACTTTTTGAGCAACAGGAAAAGGCTATTAGGCCCAATGAACCCATCTCTTTGTGATTGATGTCAACTCTCACAATATCCTTCAATCCTTTTTCTCTCTGTATCACACATTGGGGTCAATTTAACCATATATTGGGATTTATCATATTGATAAATATTCTTCCTATCTTCCTTCCAATCCATACTCAATTTCAATGAAACTAAGTTGCAGGCATTGTTTAGTGGGATATGGGCTACTCATGCATATTTTGTTTTGTGTAAAAAAATGTTATCCTGATAAGCAGGAGTTGCAAATCACAATTTCTGAGCTGATCATTCAACATTTCCCAGCTTCATGGGTTTTACCACTGAGAAGGGTTTGGTTGTGACTCAATCAGTGTGATAAATATCAAAAGTATCACTATCAAGAGACCCTTTAACTGTTAAACCCATTTATACTGCTTGCTTCAGTGACCTTCCTGGTATAAAAGAGGTATATCTAACTTCCCTCCTAATCCCTGAGCCAACGTCAAATCAGGAGAATGATAATTTCACTTATAAATAATTCTTGCATTTAATATAGCACTTCATCGCATCATCGAGACATCTCATAGTGCTTCATAGGATATACTGTAGAGTTTTATAACTATGTATATGTTTTGGGTGAACACCGCAGCCAATTTGTGCATGTCACAAACAGCCATGGGTAGGTAGGAACGAAAGTGAATGTTGGGGAAAAGAGCAGATCTTTATTACATTTTGTTGTTCAAAAATGAAATGAAACACATCTCTGAGGAATACAGTATGTCTTAGAATGTAAACAAACTTGTCAAAGCAAGCTATGTGACATTCCTGTGTTTGTCAGCGTTTCCCAGCAGATAAAGCTTACTTTATTGCCAAAGAAGTCTCTACCACAGAGCGAACGTACCTTAAGGATCTTGAAGTCATCACAGTGGTGAGTACAATTAGATCTGTCCTTTCAATGTTTTATGGGAAAAGTGGGTTCAATCTGCTTTAAGAGCTGATCTGGAATCTGTGAATGGAAGAATTGGGAGCTGAGGAAAGAGGTTTGGGGTCCTTCTTGGACAAACCTAGGAATGTAGTCTTCTCTGTCCTCTATGTGTTAATGTTGAACAATGTTTTTCAAATACTGCGGGTTCTAAAAGGTGGATTGGGCGAATGGCCCAGCCAGAGGTTAATAGTCCATATTTTAGGCTCCAATACGTAATTAGTTTTGTTTAGTGGATTAGATTGCAATATGCTTGGGTAATACCCTGCTCTGTAGTACATTTTGCAGTCTTTAAGAATTAAAGTGGGAAATTCCATTATCCATCACTTTGCCAATTGCCCTGAACGTATGCCCTGCTGTATTATGGTGCTGCAGAAAAACTCCATTATATCACACGTTCATTTATCGTGTAGACGCTGATATTTACAGTCTTCACCAAAAAATGCACAGTAACTTGGGTGGCTCCTTCAGCTGCATCACACCTCAAATTACAAAACAAAACATGTTAACACGTGTAGCTTGAAGCACGTGGATGGAGCTGGGCATGTTCAGTGAGATCGATGATCATATTATCGATGATACCATGATGCAGAAGCATTGACCAGCACCGCATTATAAGGCTGGTAGAATATGGACCCCCTAACCATCACTTTATAATGGGGCTCGACTGTATTTACGTTAGTAATTGGATTTTCCAAATTGGAAACTAGTTAATGATTTCCTTCAGTTACAGTTTTGAGTTCTAATATTCTAAGTGCTCCATTAAGTAATTTATAAATGCATTGATTATAATAGAGTGTAATGCAGGGATTTCTTCCCTATATCTTGTGACTTGCAGAATACTTGTTAAGTGCACATGTGATAGTCCATATTACGTACTGTGGTTAAACACTGGTAATGCTCTAACCTATATTTTGTAAGATCTAGATCAGCAATCTTGCCCTGTTCAGCCTAGTTTAGTACAGTCTAGTTTAACCATCTTATTGTGTTGAACCTAGTCTAGTTTAGCAATCTTGCTGTTTGCCTAGTTCAGTCTTGTTTAACCGTCTTGCCATGTTCAGCCCGACAGTAACAGAGAGAGTTTACAAAGAAGATGTTTACAAAGAATGTACAGCATGGATACAGGCCACTCAGCCCAACTTGTCCATGTCGATGTTTACTTCACATAAGTCTTCACCCATTCCTTACTTCTTCCCATACCCGTCTAATCCCCTCTGCCTCAAGTGAGAGTCTATTATCTATTTGAATGCATCTACACTATCTAATTCAACCATTGCTTCAGGTAGTGAGTTCCACAATTTCACTTTACAATGCGCATTGTCATCTGCAAATATTGACCTCCTATACCTGAATCCAAATCTTTTATGTATAATACGCCTAATTACTAGAGTTTGCTTTTGGTTTACTAACCATTCTTTAATCCATTCTGCTGCATCACCCTCATTTCCAGATGCCCCTATTTTAGTGACCAGTCTCTCATGTAACACTTTATCACTTTACCAAATAAACAACATAAAAGAAAGATGTACCCAACGTCGGTTACCAGAGCTGTTGTCAGGCTGTATTTATTGTGGCTTTGTCCGAGCAATTTCTACAATAAAATCATTCTTCTACCTATAATACCCCTTCAGTAAGAGCTGCTTATTACTTTGCAAATCTGAATCAAACCCACAATGTTACAAGAGAAAATGATTAGTTTTGCTCCAACAGCCCATTGCAGCAACTAAAAATTTGGAATCAAAGACAGCAGCTCTCCACTGTTATCAGCAGTGAATGCTTCTGATAATTGTAATTGCCAGGCTCCGTCACTGTTAAGCGCTCTGAGACGCTAGACTGCATGGAGGGCGCTACATAAGTGCAAGTTGTTGTTGTTGTTGCCAGCGACACTGGGGTTTTAATTCAAGCTCATCTGTAAAACATGAATAAGATAGGAAACGGTAGAGTTTGAACTCATTACGCCATTATTTTTATTATCAGCACATACAGTTCGGAAGAAATCTTGAAAATAAATTAGACTGTAATGCTACTTTTTGCTACCTTTCTGATTAACGTATTTTTCAAACAAATGTCATGAGCTGAATTAGTGGCAGTAAAATTACTATTGGAATAAAATGAATTAAATACTGGTTCCAAATTCCTTGCAAAATAGGAAATTGAATCAAATACGCATAATCATGTTTGATTTGAGTCATTGAATATTTGCACTTTGCACCACAGGTATTATTACGATTTGCATTTTGGCTTCATTTATTTAATGTGCAATTTGCCCAAATCCACAGCACAACAATGAAAAAATATCGAATGTGCGTGAATTTAAAGCACAATATTTATTTAAGAATGTTTTTATTACCTCTTTCAATTACTGCAAGAATTTGTTCTATAAAACCATGAACAATCGCTGGGTCAGTCAGTGCCAGAGATTATTCATGGAATCCACGAGTTAGGGATACAAGGTCGGTTCAGTCAAGGTTCACATGGATGAGCCAGTCAGTCTAGAGTTCCAGCTAACAGCTCATATGGCTTGGGTTACGCTGTGGTCATCAGCCACTCATGTGATTGGGAATATGCTTTTTCCTGAGTTTCCCTGGCCTGGAATTGTAAAGAACCAATGGTTAATGTTTTGGTTGCTTCAGCGCTACATAGTAACACTTACTGATCCATCGACTCTTTTCCAGAATTTTTTTATTGGTGAGAGGTTAGGCCTGCTCACCCCCATAAGCAAATTAGACTGAAATATCCACTTAGGGAGTTAGGGTTGACCCCCAGAGAGGCTCCAATCCCCCCAAAACTCTTCTAGGCCCCAAATTGTCAATGAACATTGCAGACCTGAACCATGTCTTCACGACCACCTGAGCAAGTCAGTTGACCAGATCACCTCTCAACAACAACAAGATTCCATTTAAAGAGCGCCTTTCACGTCGGGAGGACGTCCCAAGGCGCTCTCCAGCAAACCTTAGTGATCAAGTTCTCAAGTTCCAGTATCTCTGCTTCCTCTTAATGAGGCAAATCAAACTCTTCAGAACGGAAGTACTAAAAAAAAATCCCAACCAACAGATTTTGGTTGTCAATGCTTCCCGTAATGCCGCAATGTTTGAGGATCACACCCTCTTTAGATTGATTGAACAGTGGAGAGCAGTCAGGCCTTGGCCAGTTACCCTCTCTTAACAGATAGTGCATGGGATCCATGGACATGGCAGGGGAGAGGAACAGAGGAGAAAATATGCGATAACAATCAATCATAAATGATATTACATTATGAGGCAGTTTTCTATTTTATTATTTCTTTGTTTGAGATTGCAATCTGTATCTATAGCTGGGCCTCCAACAATCCAGCGGTGTTTATAGCTGTGGGGAGGTACATGAAAATGGTATGGCAAACTGTGGCTCTGATTTCTCTCTCCCCTTCTCCTTCGGGACGTCCTCCGGACGTGAAAAGCGCTATACAAATGTAATCTTGTTGTTGAATCTTGTTGTTGTTCACTCAATGGCTCCCAAAAGTATCCTGATGTCATAAATCCATATTCTACCACTTCAGTGCGAACATTGCTTTTCAGTCAGAAAATAATACTCAGTTTTATTAATAGATAGCAACTAATGGCAGTGTAATCTGATCCAACAATATCCCTATGGAGCTTTTAATAAGACTGGACTGTGTACAGATATTCCACCCATTCTTTGTTGATGTTGTTTGAGAAGCTCAGTGCAGAAAATAATAATATAAAATCCTGGTATGTTCCCTATCTCTTGCAGTGTTTCCAAAATACTGTGGCCAAAGATGAAGTAATGCCCGAACCTCTGAAGACTGTTCTCTTCTCCAACTTTGATCCATTGTACAAGTTTCACACTGGGTTTCTGAAGGAAATTGAGCAAAGGCTTGCTTTATGGTAAGGTCTAGTACTTTTTGTCTCAATTAGTCAGTACATATGACCCCAGATATAATTAGAGCTGAGGAGGAGAAAGGTATCACCCAGAATTCATGCTGAATCAAGGGACCTGCTGCTGAGTGCACATCGTGAACCTCTTGGCACATGGCCTTCTATGGCCTCAAACATGAAGAACAGCCAGTTGTGAAAGGAATCAAAATGAAACCAATAGCTTGGAACCATATCCCCTGCAGGCCTAGGCACCTTAAGGAGAGGAGGTGGAAAATAACTAAATAAAGTGTCAATGATTGATTTGAAGGATCAGGACCCAAAATGAAGTCACTTCCTTTAGAAGGATTACATTTTCATTTGTATTCGTTACGCAGATTTTGGGGTCTAAGTATGCAATATTCACAAAACAAATGGGGAGTGCACATTATGACTTCTTTCACATTCTGTTTCGGAAATGCCAATTTTATGTTTACAAATATTGCCTTTGAAACAGAAGTCTCCGTAAGTGTTTCCCATCGTTTCACCAAGATTTTGTAACAATTGCAAATAAAATATTAATTGAAAACTGGAAACCCAGTGCCCTATTCATATTTATGTACAAGTTAAAGAGGCTCCTTCTCGCCCCTGCAGTTGTTAAAATGGAGAAGGGGAGGGAAAAGATTGCAAAATAAAGGATTTTAGTTCCTGTTGACAATAAGGCCACATAAAATCATAGCTTGTCTTTAGTGAAATTGAAAATAAAAAAAAGCCTGGCGAGCACTTAGCACAATTGCCTTTCTCTATTGAAGGCACTTATCAAAATCATTACACAATGATGGGAATGGCAGCATCTATAAATTAACACACTCATTGCATTTTAGTCGTTCAGTGGGCAATGCTGGAGGATACCCTGATTTTCTTTGTGTAACGGTGAGATTCACAAACCTGTGTCTTGCACAAGTAAAGTGAGTTGCTTTCATCAAGCAAAAAATCAGATGGAGCAAAGGTTTAAAAAAATTGTATTTTCTCCTATCTAATTTTCTTTGCTCTTCTTCTGAAGATGTATACTCAGACTTGGCTACGTATAATGCCATAAGTCACTTTGGTGGTAGCTGGCCATATGCATGACCTGGACTTTAAGTGTGCGATTATGATGTAGATAGCATTCAGGAGCAAGAAACCTGGATGATTTTTCCATTTAACAATCCTTGGAATACTCAGTGCAAGTTAGCATTCTGACTCAGCACAAACTGGAGAATAAACCTCAGACCTCCTGATTTATAAGACTCAACTCCACACCCGCAAATCTATTTGAATGGAGCATTCATTTTGCATCATTTGATTTTTTAAAAATGTGGATATTGATCAATTCAAAATGTTAATATCCACCAAATTTTGACCAACACCTTCTAATGTGTCATACTAGCATTGATGTAGCAATAGTTTATAGGCAGATCAGGCAAGGAACTGAACAAAGATGTCCCATGGACATCATAGCCTGCACCACGCTTTTATTTATGTATTTGGGGAATTATTTAATATAAGTATTGCACCATTGTGTGGAGGGGACATTCAGGCTCATAGTCCTCACTTTCATGATTATAACCATTCCTTTGTGTTAATATTTGACTTTTAGACTAATTTGGATTTAAATATTTTGAGACTCAAAATTTTCTCATGATATTTACCATGCCTTCTTAAATTTTAATACATTTAAATTTGAGATGGTACAGAATTCTGCAAAGGTCTTCATTTGGATGTTGGTTTTCTTCAGTGTTTTTAAGAACTCTGGGAAATCAATATTTAATTTAAGACTTTAAAACATTTTTTGTAATCCAATACAATTTTGAATCTATAGACTAAGTTTATGAGGATATCGGGCCTCAGTGTTGGTTCACACTTACCAGATGTTCTCCAACGAAAGCCTTGAAATGCACAGCTATGAGCCTAATTGATTAGACAAACTGCAGTGAGATCTCTCCTGTTAACGCTTGCAAGGACATTTGTTCTGTTTTGATGGCTCATTTGATCCCCCATGTAATATATATAAAAAACTGCAGAGACTCATAATACAATTTTAATTAAAAACATACTTTAGCTGTTTAGGTTTTGGCTAATGATCATATTGGATCTCCACCAGGGTGCTGAGCACAATGAGATATTCCCAGGATACACTTAACAACCAGCCATGCGCAGACAGGAATGTTACACCGGCACAGGGGAAACATATTTTTAAGGATTGCAATTTTTTAGATTCAGTAAATATCTGGCAACTATTACATTGAAAGTCTTTTTTTTATTCCCTTTTTTGTATGATTTGCTACCTTATTCTCCATTGTTATTATTCTAAAAACAAGTTAAGAGTGAATGTAGGACTCCGCAGTGCATGACAATCTCCTGGTCACCCTGCTTGGACCTTCAATTTAAGTAAACTAGGAAGGCTATTTTCCAATTAGTTATTCCTGCCTCACTTCCCACTGGAAGGCTTAGTTAAATCAATAAACACACCAAATGCACATTTTTTGTACCCTCTTTATAGTACAAATTGATGCTAGTTCTGTCTTTACACAGATCTATTGGTTTGCATTACGAAGAACAGAGCCTACAAAAATTGGCTGTTTGTCATTTCTGGGGGAATAGTTTTGATTGTTAATCTTTCTGTTGTTGGGGTCCTGTAGCTCACTGGTTAGAGCCCTCACCTCAGATTCGATTCCCGGCAGAGCGAAACATTAGGCAAGTTTCCTTACACCACACATCTCTGTTTACCCAGCAGTAAGTAGGAACCTGGTTGTTAGTCGATTGGCGGATTGCTTCTCCGGAGGTAATAATCCCTTCAAAAAAAAATAATAGTTTGGTCACTCAATCCATGACTGTTTGTGGGACACTTCTGTATGCAATTGGCTCCTGCATTTCGTACACAAAATATGCAATCAATCCACTTTACAGTACATTCTGTGAAGTGCTTTGAGATATCTCGAAGATGTGATAAGGCACTTTATCAGATGCAAAGATTATTATTATTATTCCCTGCTACTACAGCATAGTACACGCTGCCTCTATTGTGTGGTTGTCATGACATAACACATGTTTATTGCAGGCCAGTTTCGTGCACACTCAATGACATTCTTGCTCTCCACTCCAGACACAACGTATTAGCCAAACAAGAATAAACAGCTCTGTAGAACTAGTCGTCATTTGCATAACTCAGATTCATGATTATGAAATTCCGTTAAGAAATACTGCAAATTAGATTCCATTGATACCATCTTAACTATTTGTGAAATAAACAAAACAAACATGTAAAATTCATCTGACAACTGAATTTGGATTTATTTGGATAGGCCCATATGTCACAGAAACCAGAACTGTACACATGTTCCATTAGTTTTCATTTTTATTTAGCATGAAATATTTTTTAAAAATTATGTATGTTTTATACATAAAGTTTTTCAAGTTGTTCTCAAACTATCACGATATTTTATAGCAGAAAATATCTCATAGTTCTAATGCATGTACATTATATTTATGTGTTCCGATAGGGAAGGGAGATCCAACGCTCATATTAAAGGAGATTACCAAAGGATTGGCGATGTGATGCTGAAGAATCTACGCTCTTTGAAGGTATGCTTCCACTGGCAAAACGTACAAAGAAATTAAGATTTACACAATATTTACACCGAAGGTTTTAATGGTTACATTTCTTGCAAAATGCTCTTAAGAGAAGATACAATATATCTGAGGCAGTAGTGCTCAAAGATAATCCACTGATAATGTCCCCATTGAAGATATGATTTATATCCTATCTTGTGTAAGATCTTGTGTAACATTCATTAAGCCTCCATTTACTAATGTGGTTCTACAGTTAGTAAAGTTTTTGGGGGCTGACTTGATATTCGGGATATTCGGGACAAATAAACCTGTGTACAAACTAAAAAGAGTTGGAAGGCAGGCAGATGGTGCAGCAAACCGTGTGTTACATGGCTTCACCCTTGAAATGCCATAGTGTCTTCCCAACTTTGAGCCGGGCTACTTGCTGATGGGGAATTGAAGGCTAAATCACATACAGATAGTTCCCCTGCACCACCTAGTGGCAGGTGGTTTTGATAAAAGTTAAGTACTGTATTGTACAGGGTGACCAAAAACTATCCTATCATCTAAAAAAATCATCATTTCTTTAAGACTTATTAGACATTGTTATGGTATCACCACAACTGTTTGGTCACCCAGTACATGCTGTATCTAACAAGAAATGGAGTCCTGTAGCTCAGTGGTCAGAGCACTCGCTTTGCAAGCGAGACACCTGGGTTCAATTCCAGGCAGAGGGCGAAACCTTGGGCAAGTTTCCTTATTCCACACGCCTAATAATAATCCCTCCAAAAACAAAAACAATAATAAATTGGTCATTTTCAATCTACGACTGTTTGTGGGACATTGCTGTGCGCAATTGGCTGCCACGTTCGCCCACAAATATACAATCAATTCACTTTACAGTGTGTTCTGTGAAGCGCTTTGGGACGTCCTCCCGACGTGAAAAGCGCTACATCAAATGCAAGGATTATTATTATAAATGATGCAAGATGCCCAAAGATGTAAGAAGAGGACCAACAGAAAGCATGGGGGAGTAGAGATTGAATGTAATATGAGTTCCTACCAGGATCAGGTTTACAATTAAAGAAGAATTTATTGAAAAGGAGGAAATCTGGAAGAGCAGGTTTGCTAGCCCAAGCCCGTTTGGTGAAAAGGCAAGATATGGGGGCTTGTGTTCTAATGTTAAGGCAGTTAAAGGGCCATGTTTTGCCATATCAGAGATAGCTGGAGAGGTAAAGAGCAAAATCAAAGGTGGAGTCTTTGCAGTTCAGTTCTATGACTTGGAGTCCAAAGTATCCTTATCACTTGAAATATCAATTGTTTCCTATGTCTTTATAATGGGAATTCCTAGCAAAATATTGCTATTTAGAGGAATCAGCATATGAGAGACCTAATTAAAGAATTAAGCTTGATATTTCACTTTTAGATTTCACTATCAGATTTTTTAAATGAATATTAAGAAGGTTACTTTTCACTAAATACTCTGCTAACCTGTTTATGCAACCCTCCACATTGGATCCTATGATGGATTTAAAAAATAATCTACATCAACTTTAATTGATTTAGTGTGGAGTCCTGTAGCTCAGTGGTTAGAGCACTCGCTTTGCAAGTGAGAGACCTGAGTTCAATTCCAGGCAGGGCAAAACCTTGGGCAAGTTTCCTTACTCCACACACCTAATAATAGTCCCTCCAAAACCAAAAACAATAATAAATTGGTCATTTTCAATCTACGACTGTTTGTCGGACATTGCTGTGCGCAATTGGCTGCCGCATTCGCCCACAAATATACAGTCAATTCGCTTTACAGTGTGTTCTGTGAAGCGCTTTGGGATATCCCCCCGACGTGAAAAGCGCTATATCAAATGCAAGGATTATTATTATTAGGATTAATTGTATCTTAATTTAAACTTGGCACTGAAGCTGACTAGATTTTGGTTTTCAGGATAGGTATGATACGTAGCTAACATATAGATAACAACATGTATGCAGATAAATCAAAAATTTACTCGAGTGATCAAAACCTGGATTGTGATATGAATTTTTTTTCTTATAAACGATCATAGGCATAAACAGCAGATTTTTTTTACAACCTAACATCTGAGACAAGAAAATAATTAACACTCAGTGAAGCAAGCAATCTATGCTGAGATCAAAATGCATCAGTGTACTCCAGTCCCTCATGCTGTGCTCCTTTGTTCTGTTTCAAGCAACTTACAGTTCACCTGCAGAAGCATAATGAGATTTTGATGGAGCTGGAGAAAGCCATTAGGAACTCACGGAAGCTGGAGGCGCTATGCAGGGATTTTGAGCAGCAGAAGGTCTGCTACCTTCCCTTGAATATGTTTTTTCTGAGGCCCCTCCATAGGCTGATGCACTACAAGCAGATTCTGGAGAGGCTCTGCAAGCACTACCCAGCCAGTCATGCGGACTTCAGGGACTCACGAGGTACAGAGATTATGAACCAAGTGGGAGCAGTTTTTCAACACATCCCATTATCAAAAAAGTGTATAGCTATTTATCTATATTCATTAATCCAAGTGCTCCTGTCCATTTCTTTCATTTCACTGAGTAAGAAAAAAATATTTGGGTTAAATTATTGTATTTTGAAAACTTTTACATATGATTACAAATAGGTTAAGTATTCGAAGGTTTAAAGCAGCATTGGGGGCTATTTTGCTTGGTTTATTCAGTACATTGTGTGAGCTAAAATTATTTGCCTATTCTGCTCCATTTAATGAATTAAGCAAATTTGCCACTGTACCCTTATGAATAACCATAATTCAACTATGAATTATTGTCTTACAGTTTATAAGTATATGGTGGCAAATCTGGTAAATTTAGTGAACAAAATAAAATTGCACTTAATTAATTTCCAGCAATGAACAAAATGGATCAGAATAATCCCAGGTCTTTCTTGCCTTCTCTCTCATTGTATTTTTGAACATGTACAATATATGTTGAGAATAGGAGTCAAGAACCTGAGTTGATTCCATCCTAAACTGATTGAAAATACTAGAAAAATAAAATTGTACTCCAATCAGCTTGAGCTGGAATACATCTAATTTAACACTTTTTTAAAAAAGATCATGTTTAAGATAATCCGTTCAGATTCATGAAAAGAAATTCAACATCTTTCTAAAGCATTGCTGACCATGCACATCTTAATTTACTGTTACCAATTCACTTTTTTTTACACAATTTGTATATACACAAAAGAATAAGATAAGGAATTAATTCCAGTGTATCGGGCATCAGATGGCTCCCTTGTTGCCTGTGACTTATTCAGTTCTGAGTTACAAGACCGTATCCTGTACTCTGCTGCTGTACAATAGGTAAAATATTATCCTCTCTGTATGTGGTGCCTCATTAGTTGTAACATTTACACACCCATTTGGTCCAATCCACAGTGCTCTTCCTGATACATCTGAGCCCTTTATCATGCTGTGTGCAATTTGCAGCAATCTGGCAAAACGCACGGGTGAGTTTACAATACAGTCCACACTCGTTCTAGCCCAGCCCTCAGAAGCTGCTAATTCTGTGTGTTATCATGAGGACATAATATAGTGACTATCCCATACCACAGCAATACATACAGGATGAAGAAATAACGAGCATCATTATTTTTAATAATAACTTAAAAATTCCTTCCATTTGATATAGTATCTTTGATATTGGGAGGACATCTCAAAGCACTTCACAGAATTGTACTGTAAAGTGCCACAACAACTTGCAGCTATAGTGCCCTTCATGCAGGGTAGCATCTTGGAGTGCTTAAAAGTGCACTTACTATGTATTGTGTAGCCAAACCCGTTTTTGTGAGGAAGGAGGAGCTCATCGGATGAAGAGGATTATAATATTGGAGTTGTGGGGCCAATATGATTGTGGTGCGCAGCAGAGAAACAAAGGATCACAGGAACAACCAGCCAGACCTCAGTTAAATTAGTGTCTGGGTTTAATAACAGTGATGGTGGTGACAGCATAAAGAAGTGTGGAGCTGAGTCTCATGGTCCCAGAAGTTCCCAACTTAATTCCTGGTCTTCACTGAGTGAAATTTGTAAAATTCCGAAACAGTCCTCCTGACACAAGAGGTGCTATACAAATGTAATTTTGTTGTTGTTGTTGTTGAAATTATTTTTGTCAGGGCAGCAATAGGCAGGCTGCATTTAGCCTTGTAGCTTTTGAATAAGAAGAGGTAAAAATACCTACCGGTTCCAGCTCCTGATCACTATTCAGTGCTTCCCACTTCTGACTTGTTAGACAGTTCATGTGCCTTTTGTTTGGAAGAGGCAAGATCATCTTTGGCTGAGATGCCCTTCAATGTCAAATAGCCTACTGACACTTACTGCCCAGGCTCTGGGATGAGGTAGGGGAGGAAAAGTACACTATCATGTGTCAATAGTTTCAGGGGAGGAGGGGAAAGAATTGGAAGGACTTTTTTGAAAGAAAGGTATAATATAAAGGAGATGTGATATATGAAAAAGTGTAGAGTTCAAAGGGTTATTCATAAAACCTTTTGTTTTATGCAATTGGTGTTTGGTGATGCCGGTAGTCTGAGTGCACTCTTCATAGTGCATTCTTCATATGCAAGATATGGAACTTGAGATGTAGCTTATGTTATTCATGCAACTTATTCACAACTGAGTAACACTGTTGCTAAATAAAGGTATTGAACTGGTGTCCTTGGTGTATGGAAGAAAAGTTCAAGGAATAAGTTACAGGCTTTTTGTTTTGGTATAACTTTTTAATAAAAAAATAATAATCTTTTCATATTGGAGCTGTCTGATGGTCGTACCATCAATGATACACTTCAAATGGCAAGACTTGCAGATGTGGCCTCTTCCCTTCACGGAATTCCTGGAGTTTCATTTGAAACTCCTGAAATATTGTCTTGGCGGGAAGATTTGCCCTGCAGGTCTGTGCAGCATAAATGATTCCTTAACTAATTCTAATTAGTGAAATTGAACTGTTTAGGTCAGATATATTCATCAAGCCCAATAACAAAATGTTAAAATTAAATGTGATCTCTTTCTATGAAAGTTCTGTAATTCAATGTATGGTTTTGCAATGAAAAGTGGGAACTGGAATATTCACCAAAATAAACTTGAACAGAAATAGATAAACGTTTGATTCATGATAAACAAAATTATAATTCTTTCATGTCAGAAGCATATGTCAAAGCGCATCACAGGATTTACTGTGTAATGTTTAACTAACTAATGTATAAATTCGTTTCAAAAGGCTACAAATTGGAAAGCCCATTCCACATGTTAAATTGAATGTTTTATCTTGGGTTTTGTACTTTGTTTCACATTGCACAATAATTTGACAGGAGCTGACTATCCTTTGTCTATGTTCTTCATCCAGCTGCTTTGGCAGAAGTTGCAGAAATGGCAGCACAACTGCATGGGCCCATGATTAAAATGGAGAACTTTCAGAAGCTTGTCGAGCTGAAGAGGGATTTAATAGGCAATGACAATCTAGTTATTCCTGGAAGGGTAAATTCTGTTTTCTTTTTATTAAAATATTATCATTTCAAATGCTAAGTTAATGGGTGTATTGCTTCTTTAACGTTTCTTTTCTGAACGGAATTGTTGTGGTTACATGAAAAACACTATTTGTGTGTGACGCGGACACTGGAGGAGCTGAAACGCATAGTGTCCTTAGCTGGTGTCAATACTGACTCCCAGAGGAGTCACTAGATAAAACTGATCAACAATAATCCTTTCTAGTGCCTATTTCCTGGCCCAGGAGCACTATGACCAATTGAAGTATTCCACTCTTATCCTGTCTGAGATCAGCTAACACAGGATAAAGCTGGTAATAATAATAATAATAATAATCCTTGCATTTGATATAGCGCTTTTCACGTCGGGAGGACGTCCCAAAGCGCTTCACAGAATATACTGTAAAGTGAATTGACTGTATATTTGTGGGCGAACGCGGCAGCCAATTGCGCACAGCAATGTCCCACAAACAGTCGTAGATTGAAAATGACCACTTTATTATTGTTTGGGGTTTTTTGGAGGGATTATTATTAGGCGTGTGGAGTAAGGAAACTCCACTGTGGTATTAAACTTCCTACAACTTTCCTGACCTGAATAGCACCATTTATTTAGGGGAGGGAGTGTTGGGCTACAGAATTCTCCACAGCTTTCATCATTAATCCTTCCATATGGGTTGATGCAAATTATGGGATGGCATGACATATCTCTTCCATCTGAAGTACAGCTCTGCATTATATGAGTGAGGTACTCCATCTACAATCCCTGCAGAGAACTGATGAAATAGTAATGCTTAGAGCTACAGAGCTACTTAACATGTGACTCAACTAATGGTCTTTTAGTCTGATAAATAACAGAAAAGATGTCAGTAGAGGGTAAAATGAAGAGACTACACCAGAAAATGGCATAAGTGAAGATGTATATACACTTGAACCAAGCAAACCCAGGGAGAAAGTTTTAGATGTGACATTCATTTTGTTGACCTCAAATGGGTAAAGGGTAAGTGCATCTATCAGGATTAAAACGGGTGCCAAGTCTGAGCTCCCCAGGATATATTGCCTTAAGCTCATATTCTTATCCCAGAAAGAAGTCTTTGGCTGCTGTCATCTAAGAAAGAAGTTTGAAGCTGCCATTGGTATCTAAGAAAGCTTGATGCCTCTTGATGGAGCGCTGAGAATTCATCCAGGGGGAAATCTTGAGCTATTGGATAGCTGCATAGAACTCTGCAGTTATAATGAGAGACCCTAAACATGTTTATAGGAGGGTGAAAGAACACCTCTTCAGACATCTGAAGGAGAGAATAGAGTAAGGACCTATATTACCAGACTATGTTAGAGGGAATTTAGTGTTTGAGGGAAATGTAAGTTCTGTAATAGAATAGGTTCAATATGTACCTATGATGATAGCTCTAGTAGCAAATCTTAGCTACTTTATTCACCTTTAAATATCACTGGTATCATCATTAATATAAAGTATAAATTGCATTCCTCGACTGTTAGCAGAAAGTAGCCAACAGCTCCCACTAAACTTACACTCCGTCCTTTGTACGTGTCTTATATTTGTTTATTGTCTAAACCTGGTTTGATTTTTATTCTTTTTATGTTCCTGTGCTTGATTAAGGAATTCATCAGACAGGGATGTCTCAGTAAGCTATCTGTAAAGGGATTACAGCAACGCATGTTCTTTCTGGTAAGTGAGTAAGCAAAAACTAGTGACTGAAGTATCTGTCTGAAAGGATTAAAGATGTTAATGAAAGTTCCAGGCATCAACCTACCTATGTACCTGATAGTGCAGAATAATGTACTTTGATTCCCCAATACTGGTAATGATAAAATGATAAATAGCAATCAAGTTATGAGAGTACATTCTTATTTTGAATGGTGGAAATCAATTATTAATTATTTTGATTTTCATTGGTTGAAATCAACATTCATTTTTAACTAATCTTCTTTGTTTTTATCAATGCTTTTATTTTCCATTTCCCCATGACAGAAATATTCACTTATGATGTTTTCATTTAGGTGATTTGAACTGTGTTTAAAATGGTATTGTTTTTCTTCTGACATTGCAGTTCAACGATATTCTTTTGTACACAAGCAGAGGACTGACAACATCCAACCAATTCAAAGTTCATGGGCAAATTTCTCTGTACGGTATGACAGTAAGTATTGAGCTCTTTATGATATATAGTGTAATCCCATTAAGTTCCAGTGTTCCACCCCTGGATTGTGTTACATTTTGTTACTCACATTGTAAGAATCACTAGACATCCTGTCAGCATCTACAATAACCAACATATTGAAGGTGTCAGTTGTCATTATTCTAAGCCTTTCACTCCTGTAAATCAACCTTCCTGAAATATTAGACATTAGCATCTATTCTTGTCTTGCCTTTAAGTTAGTACCATTAGGTTAGCATTTTAAATAAGTGGATAGAAAAAGAAGTATTGTTGAAAGCATAACATTAATTTACTCTGTATTCTCTCTGTATCCTTTCTTCTTCACTTATATTTTTTTATTTTGACCCAGTCTTTTTCAACCAGCCCATCAAGGGCTGTGTTTAGACAGCCATATGCTTTATGTGATATTCTCCACATTTGAATTGGTATTTATGTGTGATGTTATTTAACCCCAGTCCTGACGTGGTTAGTACACTAACTCTATTCACTATGACCTTTTGAGAATTGCATGCTAACAAAAAGTACAGGGGAAGCGAGCTCCACGTTAGGTCTATGCCATGTGAACTAGAGAGGACAGGGCTGAAAAGGAGCTAAAAAGACCTATCAGACAAAGGCTGAGGCATGTGTCAACATGTGTGACCAAAGATGCAAAACCTTTGAGTTTAACTAACTTAAGTTAGCTGGTGAGGCATTAGCAGAGCTGTGTGCTTTGGTGACTCAGAATGTCTCAGAAGATTCCATGGTGACCATTGCTTTGCTTCGATTCCTGTTTCTTGCGCTTTTTAATCCAGCCGTTTGACCAAAAGAGAAGGAATCCTATGGGAAAAATTCCACCTGTGTCTAAATTTACTCTATCTAACAGTTTAGCACAATCAAAGTTTGGAAAAATTCCTAAGTATACAGCCTTGATTGTGAAGCTGTTTTTCTGTAAAGAGTAAAATGTTCTCTAAGACGTTTCAATGTTAAGACTGAATTCAACAGTTCCTAATACCTACGCTCTAAAATCCTGCATAAATAGAATAAATGTAGGCCCTGGTGGAATCTCTACCCACCTGTTTTTTAAAGAACTTTTTTCTCTTAGATTGAAGAAAGTGAAGATGAATGGTCAGTTCCTCACTGCTTTACTCTGAGTGGGCATCGTCAGTCCATTGTAGTGGCTGCCAGGTAAGCTTTGCATTGTCGCTTTCACTGAATCCTTTTCTTCATGTATAACCTGTTTCATTAGACCAGGATGTACAAATGGCCCAATTATTATATCTGTGGGTGAAATACGGTAGTATGGTGTGAAATTTAATTTGTTTTCAGCCTAGTTTGAATTCATATATTTTATGCATAGCTCCCAAATTATTGATTATATTGACCTCATTGCTGCAAACGGACAGCATTCATTGATTATCAGCTTTTGAGGTAACTTTTCCAAACTGCTTAGAAGTATCCTCATCCTCCCCGAGCCCTCCCTCAGACTCACCGAACCTGTGCAAAACTTGGGTGTCAGGTTTGATCACCAGCTTTCCTTTCTACCCCACATTCATTCCCTGAGCAGGACCGCTTTTTTCCACCTCCATCACATTGCCTGTTTCCGTCCGTACCTCACGACCAACGCAGCCGAAACCCTCATCCACACCTTCGTCACTTCCCAGCTGGACTATTCCAATGCCCTCCGCGCTGATCTCCCCAGCTCCACCATACACAAAATTCAATTAATTCAAAACTCTGCTGCCCGGATACTCACCCGCACAAAACTCCATACCCCCATCACACCAATCCTCGCCAGGTTCCATGGCTCCCAATTACCGGATGGATCTATTTCAAGATCCTCTCACTCATTTTCAAATCTGTTCACCTCCTTACTTATCCGATCTGCTTGCTACCCCCCATACTCCACCTCCACTCGGCTGGCTCCTGCCTCCTGTTTGTCCCTGATCCCTCCGCTCCACCATCGGCTTCAGCCATTATGCCCCAAAACTCTGGAACTCTCTCCCTCAATCCCTCCACCTTGCCCCCTCACTCCCTGCTTTCCAATCCCACCTAAAGACCTTTTTGATCGTGCTTATGGTCACCTCCCCCCTCCCTCTCCCCCTGGCTCAGGGTTAAACTCTGCCACTATCATGCACTCAGGACGCTACCCCGTGTGAAGGGCGCTATATAAATGCAACTCGTTGTTGTTTTCCTGTATATGGACCTGCAGGCTCCTCAATGACATTCAACACAGAATTATTCCTTGATAGGAAACATGTCAATGAAGGTAAATAAAGTCAAGTTTTCTTCCAGTCTTCGCTGAACAGTGTACATCAGCAATGATGCAACCTCACAGTTCATACCGCCTGGTTTTGCAGAACTATTACCAAGACAACATCTTATAAATCATTAGTTATGTTTGAAAGAGTTGAAATTATTAAGCAGCAGTGGTGCATTTCTGCTCAAATTTGGATGAAGTTGTGTAATTCACTTTTTTAAACAGCACTCGTGTAGAAATGGACAAATGGATTGAGGACTTGCAGATGGCCATTGATCTAGCCCAACAGTGTAATGGCACAGCCACTGAATTGATGACCAATAGCCCCAATGATGGGCCCACAAGTAAGTGAATTGAACAGAGTGCCAATGGTAATCCTGATTACTTTGACTTTCAGCTGCAGCGTTCACAGGGGCAGTCATACTGACCAACTTGTTGAAATTTACAAGGAAACAGCCATTGTCCCTTTGGACCTGTGATTTCAGTGTCTTACCATGATGGTAGTTCTTTCAAAAGGGCTGTCTGAGCCAGAATTGAAGCTTCCAAATCAAAATTGGATTGAACAATTTTCAGTAGTTCTGTACAATCTTAAAATTGAAAGCTGAGTGATTTTACAGAGTAAGAGAAGGTGGAATTTTGAGTTTATTATTGTTTGTGATGTTCAAAAATACACTCTGGCAGAATAATACTCATCAAGACACCCACTGTAAGATCTGCATGCCATAGAATGGTTCAGCTGTGTGAGTCACCAATCGTTTACTCACTTAATCTTGATCTTGAATTTACAAGCCATTCTAAATAAGATGATAACTAGAGTCGTGACTTAGCTGACAAAACCACTGAAGTGAATCCTGACTCCTCTGGTATTTTGAATTTACAAGCCATTATTGTTTGCTCTAAATTGTCAAAAAAACTTTGTAGGATTCATCGATTGAACTAATCTAACATTACAGTTGATTTGTATGGAATTTACCTCAAAGTTAATGATGTTCCTGCATATTATTATCATTATTATTATTATTTAAAGTACATTTCTATCAATTTCCTAGAATCGTCCGATGAAACATCTGTGGAGCAGGAATCTGAAGATGATCTAAGTGCCTCAAGGACTTCACTTGAGCGACACTCGCCTCATCGCGGCAATACCACGATGCACGTCTGCTGGCACAGAAACACCAGTGTTTCAATGGTGGATTACAGTATTGCTGTTGAGGTATGAATGTCTTACACAAAAGTGTACATCTTAACCTGTTGCCAATGCGACACATTCTTAAAAGAAACGGTGATGAATTCAATGAGCTTTAAAGCAAATCCCATCCATAACTCCATGCTCGGAAACCTCTGACAGGTAATAGGCTACCTTAGTGAAACACTGGGGCAGGTTGATGCATGATGATTATTAAAAACTAATAATCCTTTGCATGAAATCCCTTTATAAAGACTATATAAGGACCATTACGAAAATAGCTAGAAATATGAAAGTGTTAGATCCTGTTTTGTTCAATATCAAACTTTACACCTTCATTTTATTGCTAAATGAAGTTTCCCATCAACTCCCCTCTTCCAAGCTCAGCTGGTAATGCACTGCCAAGTGTAACATTTAGATATTCATACCTAGATTGTACTGAGTATGTAATCTCACAGCAAAGAGAAAAATCTCCATAAAGAGAAAAATCATCCAGCATCCTTGCTGTCGCTCAGTATCTAAGGTCCCTTGCTGGACAGTGGTTGTGTGGCAGTCAGATGAAGGGGAGACTCAGATTGTCACAACTTATTTTTTAATTTTTTTCAGGATTATTAACAACTTAATTTCTGATACTTCTCAGCTGCAGTGCTATATGCTTGCATGTATGGAAGATGAGAAAGTTAAAATTAATTTGCTTAAAACACTTCCTTACCAATAGGACTATTTGTGTTAACTTCAATATTTGGATGTGGGACATCTGCACCTCTGTTATACTCAAGAGCTGTTTTTGTGTTAACCTGTGTGCTACTGTGAAGGCTTTTGGCTTCCACTCCTAATCCATTCTGCCCAACTGTAATAATAATGTCCCTTGGATTAGAAACTGCAGATGGACTACACAATGAATTCAAGTAGTATCCCTCTCTGCCTGTGAAGAATCCTGTTTTTAATGGAATCACATTCATAATCACTTGTTTACTGTTCACTGAGAAAGCCGTCCACTAGCTCTTGAAACATGCTTGTTTATGTTTGATGTGTCCCATTTTGCTTGTTCTCTTTACATTTTATAGTAAGGTTAAAGGCTATAGTAAATGCTAAAATTACTGACATCACACTTGATTTGGCAAGAGACTACACCTGTTTCTGTTTTGTTCCCAGCTAAACCAAAACCATTTAAAGGATAACATCAGATCATTTCAAGATTTGGAAATATGGAACATAATCCAAGATTCTAAAATCATTTAAAGATTGCAATGTTATTCAGTTTCCACTTGTTCTGGTCATAAACTGGGGTCCTCGCTTATTTAAAGCATCATTACTGATTCTGTCCATTACACTTCTTGGGTGTATGACATTATGAAAGACTAATATTCATGTCTGACTATCTTTAAATATTAAATGTTCTGTATCAAAGGTCATATTAATGATCTAAACTCTCCTTTCATTGCTCAAGACAACCCACAGTCTTAATTTGTTGAATTAATAAGAAATGATGATGGAAACTTCCAGTTTCTTAAAAAAAGATTTTAAAATGTAATTCTAGTGATACATTCTTAAAATCAAAGTGGCTTGGTTTCTTTTTAAGCACTTTCCAGCATCCTGTCCAGATCTGAGTCATCTTCTTGCCGCACAGATGGCCTGATCACATTTGTATACATATTACGACTCAATTATGAAAGCTTTAATTCCCCTCCTTACTCCCTGCAGTTTACAATCTGTTTCTGCCCTTTTCCCCTTTGTTCTGTCGGCGTTGCTGGCATGATAGAAAATTGCTCCACTACTAGTGACTAAGCTTCACTCACCTCTGGACTGATGAGTTTTGAATGGCCGCTTGCCATTTCTCATGTCTGCTGCTATTAAATGCAGAGCCTCTTTTTATGATTACTTCAGGATAATTGAGGTAACTGTTAAACAAATGCCAAATAACTTATGAGGTATTTTAATGATTCAAAAGGATACAGTAAGACATTTTGTAATTCAATTGCAAAACTATTCTCGATAGCTTTCATGCTATTTGATATGTTTTGTTTCCCTGTCAGCACACAACTGAAAATTCACTTAGGCAGTCAACCTGAATTTAAATGATTTACTAATTATCATGCCCTTAACAAAAAGCAGCATGTTGCTCCTTAGGCATAAAACCCAAACTCTGATTAAAGAAAACTGAAATTATATTGTTTGAGGACAGCACGGTTTTATAGTAATAATAGCCAATTCAAAATAAGATTTCTATCTTTAAAATATAGCATGAGGTGTCAATGATGCACTAATTAAAGCCTCGACCAGAAATATTCATCTCAGTCAAATTCAGCTTCTCAATTTTCAAAATGCAATACTTCGCTCGCTTCAATCCCTATAAATGCATTGTATATTCCTAGTTCCGTTTGAATTGTTTTGGCAGATAAGTTAATTTTGAAATTGTAATTTGTATAAAAGTTAAAAAAAGGGAAATGTTTAGATTTGACATGCTCTATTATACAGTACATAGATTGCTACTATATGTGGACTTCCAACCTCTTACATGATACAACAACAATAACAGCAACTTGCATTTTTATAGCAAATTTCACATAGGATTACGTCTTGAGCACTTCAGAGTGGTGGACTTGGATGCTAAGGTAGTGAGAGGAGGGAGGAGGTGACCTTAGGCGCATTTGAGGAGATAGGTTTTAAAGTAGGATTTGAAGATAGATAGAACAGACACATTTCATACGCTGTGCACTATATAATGGATTTCTGGAGGACAGCAGAATTACTCATGATGTATAATATATCCCAGAGGCCTGTAATGAAGCAACCCATAGCTTATATTGCTCTTAGCACAGGAACTGGCTCTCTCTGCACATTTGCAGTGAAACTTTGTTATAACACATGTTGGGGTTTTATAGATCCTAAGCAACGTGTTTTAACAAGGCTCTACTAGTCAACATGAGGCTAGAATAATAAAAGTTGTTAGAGACTGAGAAACTTACTATGAATTTTGATGAGGGTAAAATTAGGGACACCGTTAATGATTTGGTCAAATATAACAAAGAAGTAAATCTGAAATAACAAGACAATTGTCCTTTAAATGTAGCAAAAGCAGGTATCGACTGACAAGCAATAGGTGAGGATCTTCAGTTTTTAACATCCCTAAAGCATTTCTTTCTTGATGAAATGTGTCTCCTTGAAATTCTTGTCAAAATGCCTTTCAGCTAAGGATTTATCTGAAAATAAAATAAAAACTCTTCAATTATGCGAAATCCATAAGGAGGTAATTACTTTTCAGTGAAAGGACTGAACTAATGGCTTTTTCCTTGCATGTAGTCGGGCATATTTGGAAAAATAGCAATTAAAAAATTTATAATTGGACTTCCAGATACTCAACAGATACTCAACTCGGCATATTTGCATTTTGTCCTGGTTTGAACCTGATCTAAGGTGAGATTAGCTGAGGAATCAGCAAACACAAGCTTAATTAGCAAGAATATGCAAGTGCTGAAGGGAGGAAAGCTTATGCCACTCTCAGGCACCCTCTGCAGGTCAGTGAAGCAAAGACAGGTTTGTGAGCACCTCCTCAGAGTAAAATGGGCACTTGCCATGGGGAGAACCCAGCGAGGAAGAAAATAAATAAAAACAAATTACTAATTCTTTGTATTCAGTAAATTAGGCCATTAATATCTTTTCCATCAACCAGAAATTCCTGAGTTTAATCCCATTTGGCGAGCCAAGCAAAATCCAAGTGTAGCATTTTATGTACAAACACTGTTAAATAGACATCAGATGTACACAGGTGGCTTGCAGCTGGTTAACATTAGTACTGAAACCACAGACGATTTAAGTCAACAGTATCCATTACAGCAAAAAAAACATGGAAGACGGTGCATAAGAGTTGGAATTTAAAAAAAATATTATCCTGGATATTGCTGTGCACAAATTGACTGTTGGGCTTGCCAAATACACAGCCACTACACCTTACAGTGAATCCTGTGAAGTACTTTTGGAGATTTCCTCCAGACATGAAAAGCACTATATCAAATCCAAGGAATATTATTACATTATTATTATAGAACTTTGGAAGACCCTGTTTATTTTAAAGTCAATCAAGTTTGGTTGATTTCTGAGCTATATCTTTTACTAACAATTTAATGATTGCCCACGTTGAGCACAAATATCAAACTACTGTATATCTGTGTATGTGACATTATCGCAAGACGTAGTGCAATATCTATGTGCAACACTAGAGGCGTCCAATGTAAGAGTTATGTGGAATGCATTCTGGGGCACATACAAATTCCTTTGACTGTAATTGAGATGTTATATTTGGGTGTCCTTGTACACCAGTCTCAAAAAGTTAGTTTGCAGGTGCAACAAGCAACTAAGAAGGTGAACGGCATGTTAGCATTCATTGCAAAAGGTTTAGAGTACAAGAGTAGGGAAGTCTTGTTGCAACTGTATAGGGCCTTGGTAAGACCACACCTAGAGTACTGTGTGCAGTTTTGGTCTCCTTCCTTAAAAAAGGACATACTTGCCCTAGAGGGGGTGCAGCGTAGATTCACTAGGTTAGTTCCTGGGATGAGGGGACTGACCTATGAGGATAGGCTGAATAAACTAGGGCTATATTCTCCAGAGTACAGAAGAATTAGGGGAATTGAAACATATAAGATTCTTAAAGGGCTGGATAAAGTAGACACTGAGGGACTGTTTCCTCTGGTAGGAGAATCTATAACCAGGGGTCACAGTCTTAAAATTAAGGGTCAGCCTTTTAGAACAGAGTTGAGGAAACATTTCTTCACTCAGAGGGTAGTGAATTTATGGAATTCACTACCCCAGAAGGCTGTAGATGCTCAGTCCTTGAACATCTTCAAGGCTGAGATTGATAGATTTTTAAAAAATAGAAGGATTAGGAGATATGGGGACAGGGCAGGTAATTAGAGTTAGGTCTGAAGATCAGCCATGATCTTATCGAATGGCGGGGCAGGCTCGAGGGGCCGTATGGCCTACTCCTGCTCCTAATTCTTATGTTCTTAATTCAGAAGTCGTCGTCTTCATCCCAGTCAGTTTAAGTGGCTTTTTTAAACAGCAATGCTTTTTCAACAGTGCCATGTTAAATTGAAGAGTTTTGTTATTTGTAGGTAGCAGCAGGTGTCATGTCATAAAAAGCTGTATCAGATTGTAGAGGCACAATGGTGTGTCTTTTAGTGGGAGAAGGCAGGTAAACAGGAATCAATTGAAACTGCTTGCTGCCATCTCAATTATGTACAGTTTATCACACACATTAATGCTGGAAAGCTCTCAAAAAACCTGCAGAAAAATCTATCTTCTCTGAGTGTGTTTGGCATTATCCAAGAGTGCTTTGTGAAATGAAACAAGACCACAATGTAATTATTTACATATATAATTACTTGTCGGTCACCTTTCACTTCAGAAAGTACCAGTGGATGCTCCTATAATCATCCAGACCAGACATTTTAATGTTCGGCATCTTAAATGTTATAGCACTGCTGCTCCAGCACTCTCTATAATAATAATAATCTTTGCATTTGATATAGCACGTTTCACGTCTTCTAGACTTCACAGAATATACTGTAAATTGAATTGACTGTATATTTGTGGGCGAACGCGGCAGCCAATTGAGCACAGCAATGTCCCACAAACAGTCATGGATTGAAAATGACCAATTTATTACTGTTTTGTTTTTTTGGAGGGATTATTATTAGGTGTGTGGAGTAAGGAAACTTGCCCAAGGTTTCGCCCTGCCTGGAATTGAACTCAGGTCTCTCACTTGCAAAGCGAGTGCTCTAACCACTGAGCTACAGTGAGCTAGAGCACTGAGCTCTACTGTGCAACGCCATGAGTGTAAAGGATCACATGTATTCTTCTCTCTCTAAACCATGACTGGGATAACCCATAGAAACATAGAAATTTACAGCACAGAAGAAGGCCATTTGGCCCATTGGTTCTGTGCTGGTTCTTTTAAGAGCAAGCCTTTCAGTCCCATTTACCTGCCCTTCCACTTTACCCAGGTAGCTGACTCCTTTTAGGTATTTTACATAATTCCCTTTTGAAAGCTAAAATGGATTCTGTCTGAATCAGCACTCCTGGCCAGGCATTCCATATCCTAACCACTCTGTGTTTGAAAAACAATTCTAACCTCCCCATTTGCTTGTTTACTATCTGAAATTGATGCCATCTAGACACTGACTTACTGACCAGTGGAAATAATTTATCCCTATTGACTATAAAAAACCCTCATAATTTTAAAGACCTTTACCTCAACCTTCTCAGTTTCAATGGAAAAAGTCCTAGTTGCTCCATTCTCTGCTCATGGACCAACCCATGTAATATTGCAGCAAAGGAGTTGACCAAAATGGGATTGGTTGCATTAAAGTTGCTGCATCTGATTTGTAAAACACGTTAACATTTTTAAAAAATGATTAAGAAATAAAGTCCCTTTAGATATTAATCAACTCAAACCAAGTTTTTTGCTTTGCAAAAATCACAAATCCCAAGTTGGCAAAGTCCAAAAGTAAAGGTGCTTTACACCCCCAATATGACATGATTATCACTTTACTGTGGTTCCTTACTCTTTCAGAATCAGCTGTCCGGAAATTTGCTGAGAAAGTTCAAAAACAGCAATGGATGGCAAAAGCTGTGGGTTGTCTTCACCAACTTCTGCCTCTTTTTCTACAAATCACATCAGGTAAGTCATGTAATTGATCCCAATGTTAAAAAAAAGCTATTTGTAGATAATTTAAGATTAGATAACCTGAGGAGCTCCCAAATACTGAAGAATTGGAAGTGACGTATGGGAACACTGTGATTCAGGATGAAGGTTTCCTCTCTGTGACAGCGCAGGTATTTTGTGTGAATGTGAAGTGAAAACATTATGGTGGGTGTTACAATGGTCTTGCCAATGGACAGCATCAGCATCCAAGGCTGCACTCTCCATGTCTCAAAGCCAGTCAGGAACCTCGGCGTTCTGTTCGACCCTGAACTGTCCTTTCTTCCTCATATCCGCACCACAACTGGCACCGCCTTCCATCACCTCCGGAATATCACCAGACTACGGCACTACCTCACCCCTCACGCTGCTGAAACTCTGGTCCACGCCTTTATCACCTCAAGGCTGGACTATGGGAACTCTCTCCTCGCCGGCCTTCCTGGCACCTCCCTCCACAAGCTGCAGGTCATTCAGAACTCTGCAGCTCGTGTACTGTCCCGCACCAGGCTTCGGACCACATCACTCCCACCCTCGCTCGCCTCCACTGGCTCCCCATCCCCCAGAGGATCGAATTCAAGATCCTCATCCTCACCTACAAGGCCATTCACGGCCTTGCTCCCTCCTATCTCTCCGACCTACTATCCCCCTACTTACCTGCCCGTACCCTCCGTTCCTCTGGCTCCGGTCTGCTCCACATCCCCCGCCCCAACCGCCCTACCATCGGTGGCCGGGCCTTCAGCCTCTCAGCCCCTAGGCTCTGGAACTCTATCCCCCAGTGCCTTCGACTTGCTTCCTCCCTTTCCTCCTTCAAGGCCGGTCTCAAAACCTTTCTCTTTGACCGAGCCTTCAGCTCCCCTCTCGACTCTCTACCCCCTCCTCGCTCCCTCCCTTTCCTCCCCTCACCCTGACCATTTCCCCCCTCCTCGCTCCCTCCCTTCCCTCCCCTCACCCTGACCATTTCCCCCCTGCTCGGGTCCTGACCCAACTGTACAGCGCCTTGGGACATCCTCCCGATGTGAAAGACGCTCTATAAACGGAATCTTGTTGTTGTTGCCTGGAAATGTAAACACTTCACATTGGTCCAAGCTGTCAAAAAACATTGTTGGGTGACATGATTTAATAGGTTCACAATTTTGTCTGTCACATTTACAGTGACATCTTTTCACATTTAGATCCTCTTTGATAACTTTACCGTAATAATATCTTCAGCATATTATTATAGTTTTACTATAAAGTTATTTTAAGAGAAGTTTTATGAACAATCTATACTTTCTAATGAATATATAGGACTTTGAAAGTAAGTAAATTTGCAAATAAATATAGTACAGAAAAAGGAATCAAACGGTTTCAGGTAATCTCAATTCAATTCATTTGAAGACAGGTGCAGGGGACAAAATTTGCATCGGTTGGCTCCAACTAGTCAGTTTCACTCAGTGAGGCAATCGGAGGGTTTAGCACATAGCATCGTCACTAATTGATAGTTTTTTTAAAAAGTGCAGTGATAGATGTTGTCCACACTGGGACAGCAGATGGTCTGACATTAAAAGATATTGGAATTTAATATATGCTTATATCTAAGGGAATTCCTTAATAAGAAAATTGGATTAGGTCATGCTGACCCATGGGATCTCCTCTCCAATATGATCTACTTGTGAGTGGTGTTCATGTGAATCAGTTTGAAGTCTTTCAATTACTGGAAGAAGTCCCCACACACATATATTAGACCTATTGCCAAGTGATGAATTAAATTCTGACCCCTTAAACTATCTAAGGATTTGGCGATTCTATTTCCTATTACTGTTCCTTGTGAACATGAAAAAAACCCAATAATATCACAGAGATTAATAAATTGGTCTCCTGGAGCTTTACTCAGATTTGCTTCATAATTTAGCTTTATTATTACAAGGCTCTTGTGGCACAAGGCATCTGTAGCACGCCCCATTGCCCCACCTCTGCAACGTTGCATGCCTTCACCACTATCTTTCCCCTCAGGCTGCCGAGATCCTCATCCATGGGTTCATTATTTTGAGGTTTGACCAAGCTAACTTCCTGCTTGCAGTACTTCCCAACTCTTCAGATTATTCAGAACTCTACAGCTCATATCCTCTCCCGCACTAAACTTTGTGAGCCAAATCATCTTTGCCCACTGGCTACCCATCCCCCAGAGGATTGAGTTCAAGATCCTTGTCTTCACTTTTAAAGCCCCCTACGGTCTTGTTCCTCCCTATCTTTGTCACCTAGTAAAATGTTACCAACCTGTCCACTCACTGGGCACTGGCCTGCTCCATGTCCCAAGCCCTGTCCACTCCACCATCGGCAGTTGGGCCTTTAGCCTTTCTGCTCCCACCCTCTGGATCTCCCTCCCTCGCCCCCTCCCTCACCTCCTTCAAGGCCCATCTCAAGACATTCCTTTTCGATCATGCCTTCCGTCATCCTCCCTCCTTCACCACCCCCTTGTCCTCCAACCCACTCTGAACCCTTCACTGTACCCACACATCTGAAACTAGTGTTATGCTTCATAGAGCTCCGATTATTTGAGTCACACCATCTGGCTGTAAAGTGAGATAAGGGGTTGTTATTCTCTACTCATGTGTGTAGTTACAGACCTTGGTGATTTGCAATGTGTGCTGATAATAGCATCTAACAAGTAAATTGCGCATTATTAAGAATAACCCCCAAAATATTAGAAAACAACTGTGCTGGAACAGCAGTGTATTTGTATGACAACATTTTATTTCAGTTTAGGCAGCCATTTCAGAAAGCCTGAAAGATGGGTTAAGTGTCCACACTCCCCATTGGAATCATTTTTGAATGCCATAGCGCTCCAGAAATTAGAACAAATGACAATGATGTTTATATGCAAGCTAAGGATTTGTGAATCAGAAATAATAAATGCAGGGACTTAGATGCAATTTTTATAACTTCTTTGATGGAATATCTGTTTCAGTAGATTTTATTATTTTTACCACAGTTCCAAATAAATGTAGTGCATTACAGCAGTGCATCACTAGACAAAGGCCACATTGTGTGACTGGGATGGAGATTTGTGATTAATGACAATTTTCCAAACCAGTGACAGAATATCAGTAATACTATCAGTGATGTGATATTCCAGGTGGGATTCCTTGTCAATTTGTTATGGATTGTCTCTCTATTTGAGACCACTGAGTGATAATTTACTGCAATGAATTATTCATCTTCATCACTAATCCACAAATGGAATGAATGACATTTTTATTGGTAACTAAATTAGGTACGAGAAGTTAAAAAAACCACAGGCTAAGGCGGTTTCAGTCATTGATTGATGCTACCTGACCTGATTCACTATACACTAACTCATGTTAGGCTTGCAAAGGGGAGGAAGATTCAGCAGATATGGCTTTGTTGTAGGAAGATGATTTTTTAAAAAAAGGTCATATCACTAAAAACTCAAATGAAACCATTTAAGTGCCAGTTTGACTCAATTGTCAAACTGGTACCCACTGTCACCTTTGGGTCAGAAATGTTGTGGGTTCAAGCCCCACGTCGGGTCTTTGAGCTCCTAACCTAGGCTGCCATTCATGGTGTGCTAATGAGGGAGTCCTGCTTTGTTGGAGGTGCTGTCCTTTGCATTTTGGACTGGATCCCACTTGCTTTTTCAGTGGGCTATTAAAGATCTCCTACCACGCTTCAAAAATAAAAGGGAGTTTGTTGGAGCCAGCAATCTTCCAGATAAATTAGTTATCCTGCCCCAGCTGTTTGTGGGTCTGTGCATTGTTGAAACGACCTGTCCAATTACCTGTAAAGTGTTTTGAGATGCTTTGAAAGTACAGATGCTATATTAAATTGAAGGATTATTATTCAACAATCTATCAATGTCAGAAAATGATGAGGTTTGAGACAACACAGTAACCTCCAAGGTGTCAGAAACAATATTTTTGCAGTACAAGCTATTGTGTTGTGGTTTGGGAGTTACTGACATATTAAATCAGACATTTATTCACATCTTACATATAATGTAGCCACCGAAACTACATTGGACCAACTGTACAATAACATAGATTGTCACTTTAATATTTAGTTTAGCAACATAAACCCTGGCTAGCTGGACCAATGGGGGAAGGGGGGGGGGGGTGGCGGTGAACCGGAATTTCTGGCTAAGTGTAATTATAATGCCGGTGTGGGGATTTACCAGTTTTTTTTCAGATATATCTGGGCATTCTCATTAATCAGTGATATAATCTACATTAGGATTGGTGCAATCAGTTATTGTTCAGTTAACAGTGTTAAGATTGGCATGCTTCTGTCTTGCAGATTAGGATTTAATCACTTTGTGAATACTAACTCCAGATGTCTTGTTTTGTGAATTGAAACAATTGAGGAATATTCATGGCTAGATTGCGTCCACCACATTCCCAGCTTTTGTGATGTATAGAAATTTCTCTTAGATGTGTTGAATTGGTGCATCAAGTATTCTGATTCCTGTTTGGACTCATTTACAGATAAAATCATTAACAAGTCACAGTGAGCTCAGACCGATATATCAATCCAGATTAGATAGAAACAGTAATATACAGTGGGAGACTGTTAAACAGTCCTGTATGACTCTTTCATTGAAAAACAGTCGAATGAGATAAAATAGTCAGTAAATGAAAACCATCTTCGAAGAATTTGTGCAAAGAAGAACGGAATAAGATAGAAATGCAAATTAAAGTATAAGCACATTTAGTTTCATTACTTTTATAGTTGTTGCACCTCACAGCATAGACACTGTACAGAAATGACTCTAATGGATCTGAACAGATACAATATATTCAATTTCTTGTCCCTGTCTTAAATGAATAATATATAGAAGTTCTATGACCTACTCCATTTCCTATTTGGATTTCAGTTAAATCATAGTTCCTAAATTTAGACCATACAATATGGAATCTGTATTATTTATTAACAGATGTCACGCCAGATGTGGTCCAGCGTCTAACCATTAATCCTATGGGTAAACATCAGACCTCATCTCCTGCTGCACCATTTTTATTTCAATTGGTTCTCGAGCAATCTGTACGTTAATCAAAGCATGGGGACTCTCAAACTTCGATGCTCGATTGACATCAAAGGTTTTTGTACCTTACTGTTATTGTAAAATTAAAGACCCTTTGATTTCAAGAACCAAAGCTGGTCAGAGAACTTGCCACAGCTGAGACTTTTTAACCCCTGGCTGCTTCAAGGAATACTGTTCGTATAAATTTAAATCAAAGTATGATAAAGCAGGCACAAACCTCATAAGTTTTCAAATGATATATGATGGCTTTAGTGAGAGCTATTAAATGAATGAATGTATTAGTTAGTGTATTGAACAGATAGCGGTGATGTCATTTATCCAAAGCATTGGATGAATCAGTTTCGGGGATTGCAGGCTTATTCTACCATCATGTTTAGAACATGTAAAATTTCAAATGAATCAAATGAAATACAGCTGAAATCCTGACACCAGATGGGAGAAAGAAATAATGTAATCTATAAAGAATCTGTTGCACTTGTATCTAATTGAGCTCTGGGTTGTGTCCTAGGACAATCATCCTCTAGCCAGTTTACCATTGCTGGGCTATTCTGTCACCATTCCCGCTGAATCTGACAACATTCACAAGGACTATGTCTTCAAACTACAGTTCAAATCACATGTTTACTTCTTCAGGGCTGAAAGTGAATATACATTTGAAAGGTAAGACCTTCTTCTGTTCAAAGTGCCAGCTCTGTTCAAAGCAAATAAAATAATAATATTTCTTGCATTTGAGAAAGCGCCTTATCATATTGTTGAGACATCTCAAAGCGCTTCAAAGTGTATTAACTATAGATTTTGTGGGTGAAACATTTGCGTAGCAGAGTCCCCAAAACAGTCACGGATTGAAATATTATAAGAACTAGGGCAGCCCCTATTGTGTAGTGGATAGAGGTGGAGTTTACAGATCAGGAGTTTGCTTGTTTGAATACTGATCCACATTGAGTTTGCTGATCGCTGCCAGGAGGATAAATTGACCCTGACTTTTCTAGGGTTAAAAAGGGAAAACCATCCGAGGTTCCTACTTATTTTAATGCCTCTACAGAAGTCTCTATTTGTAATGTGTGTATGTATTGCAGATGGGAGGGGAGAGATCAAGCTTACATGTTATGTCCTTTAGTTGAGTGTTTTGCCGACACTCACGACCAAGACTCACACATGTACAATGGTATTTGGGCAGGACATTGGAGAGCACCCACCACACATAGAACTGTACCCCAGCAAGAGGAGGCCAGACTAGGAGGAGAGGTGTGTTCCAGCGTGAACAATAATTGGAAACACTAACATTTTTAAAAATATAGGATGGTACAGGACAGAAAAAGGCTATTTTGGTTTATCTTGCTGGCCCTATTCTATCTCCCCACCCTATCCCTCGCACCATTCGATGGACCATGAAAGATTGATGATAGTGTGGCGTTGTCAGTGTCACTTCTCTGTTCAAAAGAACGCAATACCTTTCAACTGTGATGTGGTTTGTTTACTATTGGATCACCAGATGTGTTAATATAAATATTCTCCTGGGTGATGGTTGGGGGGAGGGCTAAGAGAAGAAGCAGAGTCTCATTTGAGCTAAGGTAATGTACTTGACAATGGAATGTTGGAATTGAGTAATAGGTAATAATTAATTTATTATTATTAATAATTATTATTGAGTCAATCCTATGTGGTGTCTCAGTAGTCCAGTTCCTGAGCCAGGTTAGACTGCAGTTCTCAAGGGCACTGCTGATGACAGATTAAGCAGCCTGTCTTGCCAGCAGGACCTGTTGGTGACTGGTCACTGTAAAGAGAGTTTCTTCTTACACAGCTGCCATTAACAACAACAACAAAATTTGTAAAGCGCCTTTCATGTCGGGAGGACGTCCCAAGGTCCTGAACAGACAGGGATTAGGATCCGAGCGAAGCGGGCAGTGTTGGGTGAGGGAGGGCATAGGGGCTAAGAGGGCGGCTGAAGGCACGATCAAAAAGGAGGGTCTTGAGTCATGTCTTGAAGGAGGCAAGAGAGGGAGTGGGGGCAGAGAGGCTGAAAGCTCAGCCGCCAATGATAGGGCGGGTCAGGCGGGAGACTTGGAGCAGGCCAGAGCCTACTGAGAGGAGGGAAACAGGTCAAAGAGGTAGGAGGGGACAAGGTCGTAAAGGGCCTTGAAAGTGAGGACGAGGATTTTGAATTTATCCTCTGAGGGACGGGGAGTCAGTGGAGCTGGGCGAGGGTGGGGGTGATGGGGTCACGGAGCCTGGTGCGCGAGAGTACACCAGCTGCAAAGTTCTGGATGATCTGCAGTTTGTGGTGGGAGGAGTTGGGGAGGACGACAAGGAAGGAGTTTCCATAATCGAGCCTTGAGGTGATAATTGTGTGTACGAGGGTTTCGGCGGCCTGAGGCGTGAGACAGTGTCAGAGTTGGGCAATGTTGAGGAGGTGGGGGAAGGCAAAGCATATCATGGCATGGATATGGGAGAGAAAGGAAAGTTGTTGAGGGTCAAACAAGCCGCCCAGGTTCCTAACTGGCTTGGTGAGGTAGTGTGTGCAACTGTGGATGCTGATGCTGCCAGTACCTGAGGTGCTGTGGTGCTGGCGTGAGCCAATCAGGGGGATCTCAGTCTTGCTGATATTCAGCTGTAGAAAACTGGTTCTCATCCATTAATATATATAATAATAATATAATCCTTGCATTTGATGTAGCACCTTATCAGTCTTTGAGACGTCTCAAAGCGCTTCACAGAATATACTGTAAAGTGAATTGACTGTAGTATGTGGATGAAACGCGGTAGCCAGTTGCGCACAGCAGTGTCCCACAAACAGTCATGGATTGAGTGACCAATTTACTCAATTAACTTTGCAAACTAAACGAGTAGGATGTCCAGCCTAGGTGTAGAAACAAAATAAACAAAACAAAAATGTTTCAAGCTTCATACAGAAAAGTTCTTTTCAAACTTTTCTTAGTGATCTAAATGGGGGAAAAAAAGCATATTGCACCTGCAAAATACACCCCAGTGCAAGTGCAATTGGGATGGTGACCATAAATGCAGCTTCTGGATCCTGGTCGCTTTACTGCTACAAGTAATACTGCTTTGCTACCAGCAGTCTAGACAGGCACCAATAGGCTGATGCTGATTGTTTAGTTCATTACTCCAAATGAGAGGAGAGTCAATGTGAAAGATTACAGATTTGAACAGACTCCATTTTGTGCAGGTGTGCTCATGTCAGTGGTACGGCAGAAGATTATCTAGCCCTGTCACCCAAAAGTCATTTTGCAGATGTAAAATGCATTCTATGTACAATTTGTGCTTCTGATGGGCAGGTCTTTCGAAACCACTTTATCACAAATGTTGAAAAACACTAATTTGTTTGTGTGTTGCACACATTCTAGAAATAAAGCTTCACCTTGTATCTGTTGCTTTCTTTTATCAGGTGGATGGAGGTGATCAGGAGTGCCACCAGCTCTGCCACCCGCACTCGCCTTTTAAGTCGCAAGGAGTCTCATGCCTACTGATCCAGAGCATCCACACAGCAGCTGGAGGATAAAGCCTTTTCTATTCACATGAGCTTCAATTATTACATGGCATTTTTTTTCTGAAAGAAATTTCAATACAACATTTTCAAGGCTCCTGGACTCAAACAATGTAATCTTCAAAATTAGCAATGTCAATATAGTAATTTGATCTATTTTGTTATTTTGTATCTACAAAACTGAGCATGTGTGTGTGATTTTTTTTTCATGAACCTGTTTAGTAGAGGATGGGAAAATCCACTTAGCAGTATATGTCCCTGGCCAGAGTTAAAGATGTGTTTATGTAAAAACAAGTGGGAAAATTGTGTGAAATTTAGACCTATACAAGAGTTTGAATGAATTCCTATCTGACCGGAGGATAGAATTTAAAAGTACCTTTCCAGTTCCCTCATTATCTAGAAAAGCCCGAAGTCAAGCGTAACATTTCTTGGTAGACGAGTTATGCATTTATACGTTTTCGGTCACATTGCAGGTTCTGCCCCATGTTTGAGCCGACGCTACGAACAGTAATCCTGGAACGTGAGACGTTCAGATGCTGACATGACAATCATGCTGTTGATTCAGATCAAATTTATCTTTATCCTGCCACTGATTTTGGAAAAGGCTCCAGCTTTAAATTGGCCCATGTTGCATAAACCAATATCATCTTGATATAAAGCTTCTGATTTGGCCCAGATAAACAACCACTCTGAACGCTTACATTCTCCATTGAAAGTGTTGACATAAGCCTCATAGGCTAGCAGAAAATTTAGCCAAGGTTCTTCTGAATACTATTCCGCTCAAGGTATAAGTGTTTGATGAGACAGGATTGGTCTTATCTATAATGCTATTATGGTCAAATAACTTGGTGAAACCCAACTCACTGTCAAGGCTCACAGATGATTAATAGCCACTTGTACCATCTTCAAGGGAGTTGGGGATATTGACTTAAATTAAAACCCTTATTTCTTTATAGTGTAAAAATAAATTTCAGCCCACTCTTGCCACAGGAAATGGAAATATCTCCTGCAAATACAAGCTGAGATGTGTCTCTGTAAGATTCACTTCTCGCTTCTTCAGTGGTTTTTGTTGGAAAAAATATTTCACAACTCTTTTCCCATACCTTTAAATTTCCACCATTAAGATCAGATATTCAAATCCAATTTTTTTTGTTACATTTTAATTTGTCCTTAGCTGGAAACAATAAAATAATTCCTGTATGGATGGGGTTGCTAAAGGAGAAACGTGTAGTTACCATTAAATTCTGACATTTTTTCCAAACTAAGTCTGAGACTGTTTTCAGACCACGTGGTGGTGGCAAACCTGGCTCCTCTTTACAGTGCTGATGTCTTGAATATCTTTAATGCAGGTTTTTTAAAAAAAAGCAATTTGTAACAGTTTTTAAATTAGTACAGTAGTAATGTAACTATTTGTTCTTTGTAAAATACACACAGCAGCCCATAGTGAGCCCTGAGTGATGCTGCTTGTGCCACTCGTTTTGCAGGAGACTGCGTACACTCAGTGTAGGAGCTTGAACTGCAGCCCATATCATGGGGCTGAAGGAAGGCAATTCCAGTGGTACAGTTTCATGTATCTTTAATACACCATTTTCTTGAACAAAAGTTTCTGAAACAATACAGCCTTATTACATAGTTTTCTTTTTACTGGTGATCTGGACCAGCTTATATAGCCGCAAATAGCTGAGCTATAACTAGAACAGAGAAGTGGTACTACATGCCATCCAGTGGTGTGGAGAAATGAGGCTAGTACTGATTTTTACCTATCACTGTCTAACTGGTTATTCAATTTATAATCGCATAAACAATTTTAAATATAGTGCAGATTAAACTACCAATACCAATGTTATGTATCTTCTGTAAAAGATTACCAACTATTGATTGAGGTCACTAAAAATCACATGAACTCTAATTTGTGAGGTGTTAACCATGTGAAAGCACATGTGTACTGAGAGAACTACAGGTGAACTATGTAGTTGGTAGCCAATGGAAAGGATTGCAGGTGAATACGTAACCCTTTTGATGGTTGTAATTTCCATTGTGCATTTGCACATGGTGTATACATTTGTTTGCCCATAGTTTACACATATCTCATTATACTCCTATACTTAGAATCCCATTGATGTGCATTAGTTGTGTGCAGTAAACCACAGCCTCTTATCACTCTCAGTTAGATATACACTGCAGTGAATTCCAGTCTTCTCAATCATGCTGGGAACACAGTGCTAGCCGGCCCCGAGTGACTTACTGAAAACATAATGCCGTGTTATTGCATCCAGTTTGGGGAAAGAAATTAATTTAACTTCATGTGGAAAAAAAGTGAAAACATCCAACATTGCAAAACCAGTCTTGAATAAAGTGTTTTGAAATTATAGAACTAATACGGTCTTTGTGAAAACAAGTATGGATTAATGTCTTAAGACCCTTGAAATACAATAGTTTCTATTCTAGTGAATTGTTGTTTCTTTGCCTTCTTTAATGACCTAAACCATTTCAATAAACACTGTACCTTGGCTTCTTTGTAACAGTATCTGACATTTTTTGATAGGGTGACTAAATGGTTTTACATTAAAAGGTGCACTTCTGGATATTCGGAAACCAATTTCCTGCAGGTCTTTTGAAGAACCGCTTTCAACGTAAGATTTTAATTCAATCCTAAATTGAAGGCAATCGATATGGAATTTTAGGCCTCTGGCCTTTCAGACACTAAAGACCAGAAACATGACTATCATTTGGAACATGGTATAAGACTGCTCCTTTCCTGCACCATCTTCACCTCTTTTTCTCCCGTGTTAGGCTGGCACTGCAGAAAATGCAGTGATTTTTAGTTTGCAAAATCATTATGAAAGTTTTATTAACCTCATAAAGTTTTGACATTAATGGGTTTTTAAATCTTTCAGCATGAGATAGAAAGCATCTTCGCCAAATTTAATATACTGAAATTGTTTCACGCAGAACAAAGAGAAGCAAGCTCTAGAGGCTGAGCAACACCTTTAAGTTTAAAATAGCTTCTGGACATAAGATAACAAAAAGAACAAAGATCTAAGGCCTCCCCTTCAAAATAATAAAATTAATTTCATGAAAGAACTTGTTAAGAAAATACAAATGATGCGTTCATAATGAGAGATTCAGTTCTTCAAAAGTGAGTTGCTAATGGGACAACTTGTTCAGGGAAATGCTACCTTAAAACTCACAAACATGAGAAAAGCATCACCTTTACTGAGCATGCCAGAATGCTACTTGGTAAAGGACCAAACCTCCAGGATAATTGGTGCCAATTTGTTTCTTTCCCCTACCATAACACACACACCTTTATTCCATTGTCCACTGCCAGACAGCAAGTGTTGGCACTTCCTGATCTGTGTCAAGTGGTCAATTTCACCCAAAGTAGGTATTGGGATGCTACAATTCAAAGCCTTCAAAGCCTTCCATGGTCTTGCTCCCACCTACCTCTGCAACCTCCTCACCCCCTACCATCCTGCCCGCTCCCTCTACTCAGTGGGCTCCAGCCTGCTCCACATACCCTGCCTCGCTCACCAATGGCAGGCGAGCCTTCGGCCACTCTGCCCCCACCCTCTAGAACTCCATCTTACCTGCTCTGCCTTCCTCCACCTCTGCAACATCGCCCGGCTCCACCCGTCTCACACTGCAGGCTGCCGAAACCCTCATTCGCGCTTTCATTACATCAAGGCTTGTCTATGCAAACTCATTGCTTGTCGGCCTCCCCAACTCCTCCCTCCATACAACAACAACAACAACAAGATTCCATTTATAGAGCGCCTTTCACGTCAGGAGGACGTCCCAAGGCGCTGCACAGTTGGGTCATGACCCGAGCAGGGGGGAAATGGTCAGGGTGAGGGGAGGGGAGGGAGAGAGGAGGGGGAAATGGTCAGGGTGAGGGGAGGGAAGGGAGGGAGCGAGGAGGAGGAAGAGAGTCGAGAGGGGAGCTGAAGGCACGGTCAAAGAGAAAGGTTTTGAGACCGGCCTTGAAGGAGGAAAGGGAGGAGGCGGCGAAGGCACTGGGGGATGGAGTTCCAGAGCCTCGGGGCTGAGAGGCTGAAGGCCCGACCACCGATAGTAGGGCGGTTGGGGCAGGGGACGTGGAGCAGACCGGAGCCAGAGGAACGGAGGGTACGGGCAGGTAGGTAGGGGGATAGTAGGTTGGAGAGGTAGGAGGGAGATCATAGGCTGCAGATCATCCAGAACGCAGCAGGCCTTGTCCTCTCCCGCACCAGATTCCGTGACCCGAATGTAATTTTGTTGTTGTACAATTAGCTGCTACAAATGGAAGTCTATGAGCACAATTATTATCCAGGAATCCACGTTGGCATGTACACGCAAACATTAGCTGAGAACATGCTCAGTTGCAAAGCTCCCTGCAGCCAACTGTTACACAGGAATAATGGTCACTTGATTAAGGCACTAGAAGACAACTTGTGAAATTGTTCCTACTAATAAAACAGGAACTAAATGATTTCTGGAAAGGCCAGAAAATTGGTTGTGAATGATCAGGACTAAAAAAACAAAGATTACATTTGTATCTAAAAAAAATTAACATACAAATATATTTCTCACATTTAATTTGGATTTTTAAGTGTTCTAGCTGGTTCTTTCCATGCGGAAATGAATCTGTGTAGGCATACAATACATAGGTTGCACCTCCCACTGAAAATTGACGGTGCTTTTCAGTCCAAGTATAATTATCTTTCTCTCAGTTGTTTTGAGTTATATGTAATGAATTTGCTTAGTTGGCTGTGGTATACAGATTATTTACCATTCTGGATCTTCCATCATGTAAATTGGAGCAGCAGTTTGACAGTATTAAGAGGTGGTGTAAATTTACACTATACTGAAAATAAAATGTGCTTGTAAACTTCTATCATATTTACAAAGGAAAAGACCTGAATTTAAGTAAATTTAATTAGTAAGGAGTTATAATGGAAATTCTTTCCAACAAACTAAGGTATTTGCCTTTGTCACCTCTCGGCTGGACTACTCTAACGCCCTCCTCACCGGTCTCCCATCCACCACCATCCATAAAATCCAGATCATTCAAAACTCTGCCGCCCGCATTTTCAACCGCACGAAACTCCGCTCCCCGATCATCCCAGTCCGTGCCAGACTGCACAGGCTGCCTATCCCAGAGAGGATCAATTTCAAGATCCTCACCCTCGTATTCAAGTCCCTGCACTCCTCTGCAACCCCCTACCACTCTGATCTCCTCTCTCCTCAAAACAGCACCCATTGCCTTCGTTCTTCCGGGTCTGGCCTACTCTTTGTCCTCTGAGTTCTCCGCTCCACCCTCGGTGGCCATGCCTTCAGCCACTATGCCCCGAGGCTCTGGAAGTTCCTCTCTTCCTATTTTCAGATCTCTGCTGAAGACCTTTCTTTTCGACCGCACCTTTGGTCACCTTCCTCCCCCTCGCTCGGTCTCGGGATCCGTTACTGTGAAGCACTCTGAGACGCTGTCCGGCATGAAGGGCGCTATATAAATCCAAGTTGTTGTTGTATTGTTGGAAAGAATGTTTTACAAATGCAGCTTCAATGTTGCACCAGGCTTAATTCCCAAATAGTGCAAAATATTTTCTATTCAATCAAGGACATTGACATTAAAATTTGTAATCAAATTCAAAACATTAAGTGTGAATAGTTTGCTGATGCGTGCATTGAAAACAACTGAATACATGGTGAGATGATCAATCATTTCAGAAATAACTATTCTAGTTTATAGGACTGAAAGGTGATGACTTAAATTATGTTGAAAAGCAAAAAATCACTATTGTAATACACTGACAAAGATATACTGGACTCTATCATGTTCCAGTACTGTTCCAATATAAGCAGAATTTAAATTTATATAGATTTCAGGCTTCTGTGAAGTATGAGAGGATTAGATGATATCACAATAGCTTGATCTTCAATGTAATTTCACCACTGTTTTTAAATCATTAAATTATTGATAGCATTGCACATATTGTGCAATTTATGGGTGCCAGATTGTAGGTAGAAGGCTGCAGTTTAATCTTTACACTGAGATTTCCTTTAACCATTATTGTGGTTTATATCCTCTACACTCCCCAATTAAAACACCACCAGTTGTATATGTGATTACATATATCCAGAACCTGACCCAAGAAATTAATTTCAATCTGAAATGGTACTAGCTTATGTAGACATAGTCAAGTATTTACCAATTAAATAAGGTTACAGAAAATGTGTACAAGTTTCTTGCTGTCTTATCTTCTCATCTTTCTTCAAACACCTAAAATGCTAAAATGCAATCATCCAAGTTAGTAGTGAACAAGCTGAAGTTAAACAGCTATTGGAAAAAAATCTAACTTATATGATATTAATAATTCAGCTCTATTGAAAGTTAACTCCAGGAACTCCATCAAGCTCATATTACTGTTGCTATAGGTAGAACTCCTAAAATTTCTTTGCATAATATGCCAATTTGGTGCATTTTACAGAAATTAACATCTTCTAGTTTAAACTTTAAAAAAAACACATCTACTATTTTCGTACCTAAATTCAGAGGGTCTCCCAATTCCTATCCTGAAAGCTGCACTGAATTTAAAACAGTCTTTAAAATGCCAACATTGTGAATGATCCACCTCGGTGCTTTAGCAGAATTGAAAATATATTTTGCCTCAGAATTCATATTTTATTGAAAATCACTTAAAAGCTTACAAGGAATTTCAATACATTTTGTGTTTAATGACAGAAGCAAGGATTATATACAAGACTATAAACTGTCAGCAACGTTACATATAATGAAATTTACACATAATTAGCATCTGTAATAAGTATCCTGTCATTATTAAACATCTTAAAGGACCAGATTTACTGCAGTACTAGCTCTTTACACTCATTTATAAAAATATTGTATTTTTAATTGAATCACTCCATACATTATACCGGTGTTTAAGAACATTTCCTGATGATCGCACTACATTATTGCCATTTTATGCAGAAATACAATAATTACAGTTTCCTTTGATTGTGAAGAAATTGTAGTTAGCTGGAGAGAACGGGTACAAAACTGCAACATACGTACCATGTTTAAAATACTAAAAGGAAAACCTTTCAAAGTGCAGCAGATACACAACCTAAATGACAATCGATATACAACTGTGAGAAGTGCAGCTCAACACCACAATATATAAGGAACAGAATAAGTCATGGCACTTGTGCTATGAAAACAATGACAGCTCAAAGCTTACTTAGAAGACAGTATCCCCTTCCGGTTTTAAATGACCGATTTACAATGCAAATGGAAAAGGAACTATTCACTTTGAAAAAAAAAGGCTTGAGAATTGGAATGCAACATTATATTCAGTCTATTGACACGTTTCACAAAGGTTGATAATCCTATTCCTTACATTTGAAAAAGCGCCTTTCACATTGGGAGGATGTCTCAAAGCGCTTCACAGGTTATACTATAAAGTGTGTTTTGTAGGTAAATCTGGCAACCAATTTGCACACAGCAATGTCACACAAACAACTATGAAGTGAATGACCAATTTTATTTGGGGAATTATTGGCCAGGACACCAGGAGAAACTTTCTTCTCTTTTCGAACAGTGCCTTTGGATCTATAATGTCCACTGAACAGGTAAACGGGGCCTCAGTTTAGGATGCCACCTCCTACAATTAAGCTCACCCCCCAGCATGTGTCATCTTAGACTATTTGAGCTCCAAATCCCACGTGGGGCTTGAACCCACAACCTTCTGGTCTCCAAGGCGAACGTTCAACCAACTAAGCCACACTGAGACAGGTTGACGCATAACTAGTACCTCGATTATATTATAGTGTATACAGTAAGTGAGAACACACTAGTTCCAAAATGCATTGCTTTTTGGTCCAGCTGAAATGAAGTCAAGGCATCCAATGATTTGGAAATATTTCTAAGTAGTCGAGCATGAGTTCCAATCAATAGAAATATCAGCTGCAAGTTTAACAAATGATATAATATCAAGTTAAATTAGAGGGAAGGTGCTTAGTGTAGTGAGTCAGCTGGCTGTGCTGGCATTAGCAGTTGAAATAAATTCAGAGAAGTGAAGAGAAGTGGAGAGCTTGGCTTTCTTGGAGCTAAACTGGCTCCAAGGTTATATGTTTGGCAACAGAATGTCAAAATTGAGTCAACCCTCAGTGGCGGTTTTAGTAATCCAGCTCCTGAGCCAGGCAGGTTACTCCAGGGCCCTGCTAATGCCAGCACAGTCAGCCTGATTGATTGACAGGACTTGGAAGGACAGACCAGTCACCGGGAGAAGGAACTCTCCTACTCAGCTCCTATTTAACTCTGCAAGCCAAAGCCCTAACATGTATGGTGGTCTTAGCTGGACAACATCAGGAAAGCTTGCAGACAGTGCTTTCAATGGCAGGATATGCCTTTTTAGCTGGTTAGGCTGCCAGTACTATGAGGTTGCCAAGCCTTGGCTCTTGCCACCTTGCACCTAATACTTTCTGGAATTAGGTAAGCAGGAGATTGTGAATTCCATTCATTTAAACATCTCTGGAATTTCCATATATAGGTGAGATGCATGGAATTCTCAGTTTGGTTACTCTTAAGCATGGGTTTCCACATGTGTCAGACGTCCGGCTGACCAAAAATAAATAAATAATGGAAACCCAATAATGGTGCACTGGCTCTTGAACTTTTTCTTATAAGTTTTCTGTTAGAAAAATAATTTTGTCACTGTTTCTAGCTTTGAAACAAAACCAGTGATAAACCTTCAGGATCCAAAGAGGTTCGATATTAGACTCAATTACATTTTAAATTTATGAAGTATTTAAATCTATAGTTTAAAGGGACAGTTTAGTTGTTCACAGTTATATAAAAGCTGCGCTTACAAAAGTCAACTAAAGGTAAACACTATTCAGCAAACAATTGTTACTGTGTTTGTACACTAGAATTATGAGCTGTGAAACAACCATGAGAGTAAATAAACAGGGCTGTTTTTTTTTGTACCATTTTTTCTCCAGAGTGAGATGTACCTGGTCCCATTTCCCTTATACAAGATAAGGAGTATTAAGGGTTATCTAGTTTTCAAAATAAAACAGCAGAGTTAAGTAATTTAGAATATGATTGCTATTATTGGGAAGGCTCTTGGCTCACTGGGAGGCAGTGTTCAGGCAAATGTCTGCATCTTCTGTCTAAGAGGCTACCTTCATGGCATATGTGATTGTACAGTATCAGGACTGGATGAAATATTAATGAATAAAAGATTCTCATAATGGAGCAGAAACTGAAGGACAGCATATTGCACTTTAAAGTGGCACTTAATGCTGGATTATGTAGGCATATTCTTATTCAATGCTTCCAGCAATTCTGAAGGATACATGGCTTTATAAGGGTGGGTGGCAATCTGCACTTCTCATAAACAATTTTGTGTTTTTCTGAAAGTCCAGTTGAGGACTGAACACTCTTATTCCTCTTATCAAAAATGGCAGGAAAAGAAGTCACTTCTTAATTATAGTAGATTCTCAACTACTTGGGAGTGTAACAAGTAAATCTATCATTTGTTGAAATGTTTCTTCCAAGATCGATCCCAATGTTTCAAAATCTGAAGGTAAGTGTTATATCACAGGCTGTGCTTCCTAAAAGATAGCTCTCAGACCAGTACATTGAGGCAACAAGTTCACATTTGACCACTAAACGGAACCCAATGACAGGTAATGCAACCTTCCTTCCCAATTTATATCTACAAAACACCAACATCCTGGGGACCCCAGAGTAAATTATTATAGCACTGAAGGCAACCCCACAACACATTGCACCATAAGGACTTACTTAGTACTTTCTTGATCTGCTTCACATTTAAAACCATTGTGTTGCCCTGACAATTCTCAAGGATAACCAACAAGCCTGGAGATCGTAGGCTAAGTTGGATGCTGTTCTATCCCTCCTTAAAGAAATTATAGAGTTTGTGTACCATTGGCTTTAGTTTTCTTTATAGTGACAGAATTTGCTGGCTGTAAACTAAGTGTTATCACCAGTAACAAGGAACAATTTTCTGGATCTCAACGAGTACTTAAAGCAAGAAGTTATCATTGGCAGCAAAACATGGTTAAAAAATGAGAAGTTAACAATTTCTGATGCAGAAAATAAATCAAAATGAGAGTCAACATGCCTGGAATTGACATAGAAGACTTTTGTAGAGTTCTCTTTGCTGGCGCAGCAGCTCCTTATGCGACAGGTGCAAATAGCAGAAGAAAAGGACACACAGTCAGGGCATGCCATTCACTCAAAATAAAAATAATCTTAAAATTATTTCTAATTTCGCTTTAATTCTCATTCAAAATCCAGCTGCGAGTCATAGAAACCTTGAAAGTTTATGAATTTGAATGTTTCCAGCACAGTATGAACTTAGCTACACCACCAATGTTCAGTCTTATGTTAGCCAAAATGTTAAGCCAAGATGTCAGATTTCAAAGAAACTACTTAAAAATGTGGACTAAGCTTGCAAACACAGGATAGAATGAGGGAAGAGGATACTATCAAGGACTTTGAGATCTGAGGGTTTCTAAGTTGGGCTTTGATTATCCAAAAGTGGCAAGACCCTGGAAATAATTAAAAGTAAACCTGTACATTAACCAAACTTTACAGGTAATAAAAAAGGCAATATTTAGTTATAGCCTTTCCACAGATTTACTCACAAACATTATCTACATAAGCACTCAGCCATATTGACGCATTTTGTACACAGTTATCCCCGATGCACTCTCAAGATTTTCAATTTCAGTAAAAATGACTCTATATACAAATATACACAGAACCAACAATACCCTCTCCGTCTCCCAGAAAAGCCATCCACTTAAAGCAGGATACCTGAGGTTCTGCAGAAGTTTCCGTTTCCATATCCCAGTCCTAAATATACAATATGGGATTTAAAAATAAAGACAAACAGTAGGCCTTTCCTCCTCAATTGAATATGTGCACTGATAGAAATAAAACAATCGCTTTAAGTAGCTCAAAATGACGGCTCATCTGAGAGACTTCATCTTTGACTTGCATGTTGAGGAGTATCCAGTAACAAGAAAACTTTTGCAATGCTGTGGCATAATGGTCTTATAAGGACCTCTTCAACATAAGACACCAAACGATGCCAACCCTCAGTTGGAAGAGGTTCCTGCCCCACTTAATGAATACCTGGAAAACAACAACAAAATTACATTTGTATAGCGCCTTTCATGTTGGGAGAACGTCCCAAGTCACTGGACAATCAGTGTTTTGGACCTGAGCTGAGGGTCAGGATCGGGGAGGGTGGAGAGCAGGGGTTAAGGAGGGTGATCAAAGTCACAGTCGAAGAGGAGGATCTTGAGATGGATCTTGAAGTTCCAGAGTTTAGGATGGAGTTTCAGAGGGTGGGGGCAGAGTGGCTGAAGGTCAATGGTAGGCTGGGCGAAGTGGGGGACGTGAAGCAGGCCAGAATCCACTGAATGGAGGGAGCAGGCAGGTTGTGTAAGGGTTTACGAGGTCGCAGAGGTAGGGGGGAATCAAGGCCATGGAGGGCGTTAAAAGTGAGGACCAGGATCTTGAACTGTATCCTCTGTATGATGGAAAGCCAGTGGAGTCGGGCAAGGATAGGGCTGATAGGGTCCCAGAGTCTGGTGTGGGAGAGGACACAAGCTGCAGAGTTCTGGATGAACTGCAGCCTATGGAGAGAGGAGTTGGGGATCCTGACAAGCAGGGAATTTGTGTAGTCGAGCCAGGATGTTATGAATGCACGTATGAGGGTCTCGGGGGCCCGCAGTGTGAGCCAATGGCAGAGCTAAGCCATGTTGGGGAGGTGGGGAAAGGCGGAGTGGGTCATGGTACGGATGTGGGGAATGAAGGGTCGAACAGGACACCGAGGTTCTGTATTGGCTCCATGAGATATAGGGTGTATCCATGGAGGGAGATGCTGTCAGTGCCTAAGGTATGGAGACACTGACGGGAGCCAAGCAGGAGGCCTCGGTCTTGTTGACATTCAACTGCAGGAAGTTAGCTCTCATTCAGGACTTGATGTCTGACAGCCAGTGTGTGAGAACAGCAGTGGTCTTGGAATCGAGAGGTAGAGCTGGGTGTCATCAACATACATGTGGAAATTGACCCCATGTCTGCGGAAGATGTCACCAAGGGCAGCACATAGATATTGAAAAAGAAAGGGCCTAGGACAGAGCCCTGAGGGACGCCACACGTAACGATATGGGGGCTGGAGGAGAAGCTGTTAGTGGCGACAAAGTGGAGACGATGGGAGAGGTAGGATTTGAACCAGGCAAGGGCAGATCTGTGAAGATTGAGCTGAGCGGAGAGGCGGTGGAGGAGGATAGAATGGTTGACAGTGTCGAAGGCAGCAAAGAGGTCGAGGAGGACAAGGAGGCAGAGAGAGCCTTGGTCGCAGATGTTCAGAATATCGTTAGTAGCTGTGGGCAGCACGGAAATCTGAATGGAGGGGTTCAGAGAGGGAACGGTGGGAGAGGAAACAGCGAAGCTGTGACATGATCATTTGTTCCAGGACTTTGGAGAGGAATAGGAGGTTGGAGATGGGGCAACAGCCGGAAAGTAGGGATAGGGCCAGAGAAGGTGTTTTGAGGCTGGGGGTGATGACAACTGTTTTTAGGGTGTGGGAACAGTTCCAGTGCATAAGGAAAGGTTGATAATGTCAGTTAAAAGAGGGCCAGGAGGTGGAGCTGGGAGATGAGAGGGGTGGGGGTGGGACTGAGGAAGCAGGTGGTGGGGCTTCATTTTTGAAATTATGGAGGTGAGCGAAGAGGGGGAAGATAGGGTCAAAGATGTATAGGGAGGGATGGGTGTCACAGACTGGGAAATGAGAGCCACAATGCCACTGCGGCAGTGTCACCTGAGGTGGCTCGGGTTTCGCTGAGGGCGAGGATGTTTTCATCGACAATGAGGACTTGGAGGTTTTAATAAAAGATTTGTTTATTAAAAAAAGATTTTTTTGTGTTGGCATGCAGATTTCACACAACCACAAGATTACAAGAGAGATTTGGATGAATAAGGGCCTTCAGCCCATTTATAATTTACCAGATGAACAAGAGATACCAATTAAGCAGGTTATGCTGCTGAAAGTTCACTCATGTTAGTCAAGCTCTGCAATGTCGTCATCTACAATGTACAACGTCACGTGCCAGTGATAATGGTAATATCCTGCAACCTTTAAACGTAGTCTAGCACTGTGTTGTTTAACTTACACTCAGATCACGCTCATCTGGAATCAGGGGGACAGAGCTAGCATATTCATCCAGTCACTTGCAAGACAGGAGCAGGACTTAAAGGCAATGAACTGGTGAGTTGCATATACTCCAGATGAGAAGCATAGGGCATCAAATGTATTTCCTTGCTCAATAGCTTACCTTACATATTGGAAGAATTATGAAGACTTGAATAGATTTACTGATTTAATAATCAAGTCATAATTTTACAATAAGCAGAAAATACCTTTGAAGTCTCTGTATGAGTTGGGACACAAGCGTGTCTGAAATCCCTGGACAAGCTTCTTCTGCCAAGAATATGGCCTCTCTTAATTGCTCCACCGCTTCAGTATTACCTCCTCCGGCTTGACTCTTCTCTTTAAGCTGAAAGAATAAGTGCCAATTAATACATTTATATTAATATTGTCTGAAGAGATCCCAAGAAATACAAATAACTGATCTTTTACCTACCTCAGAAAATAATGGAGAAATAATTGTGGGTAAACACTCAGATAGGGATTGCTTTGGAGAATCCTGTTCCTTAAAAAAAATCAAAAGTTAAACATGTTAAATTTGTCTGGCTAACTAGTGAGGACACCACTGGTTGGAACTCAATTAATCAAGCATATTAAAAGCTAGAGACAAACAATAAAAGTTTATACATTCAAAGCCAACAACAGTCAATAGCCAGTAATGGCTGTCAGAGGGTAACCACCTTACAAGGTGGTGGTGCTATTTTAATAATGCCAAAAAGCCAGTCAGTTGTGGGACAAAGTAACTGTGTAAACCAACAACAAATTACATTTGTATAGCGCCTTTCACGTCGGGAGCACGTCCCAAGATTGGTGAAATGTGTCCCAAACATTTTTTTTTCCAAATTTTCATTCCTCTCCAATTTATCTTACAATCGAGTCAGGTAATGTTACTTGGTCAAAAGTAACCTCTATACAAGTCATTCAACAAAACTGTTTAGCATAAAACTAAAATTTGTTGCAGTTTCAGGCTCCTTGTTCATTACTGTATCTTATACTGATGTCAGAAAATGTACTGATCTATAATTTACCAAAGTCTTATCACTCACTGACAAGACAGTGAACTATTTTTAAGATGAGCAAAGCACGCACCATACATTACTGCACTGTTTTAAAAAAACTGTTCAGAATAATTACAGTACTATTTGGAATCGTTCAGGTTTGAATTAGCAGTTGTGCCCAATTTTGCTTCCAAGCCCACAATAAACTATGTAAACCATCAGCCAATTCACCACAAAGTTCCATTAAGTTGAAAATAGATTTATACCACATACTGACAATGAAACTATGTTCCATAATTCCACATGTATGAAGCAGGCAGCTGTAGGGAATTAAACTGCTTTCTGCTTACTACTCTTTCAGTCCCAACAGCCAGCGTGGACTGGAGATGAAATATTAATCTGTATACCGATCTTCATCTTATGTACTTCACCATCAAATGATTCTCAGAAGCCAAGTTAATTCTATTCCTCTAAGCATCACACATGAGTGTACCCATCCACATCCTGCCAATGAATGTGCTGGTTTGGCCAAACTCTATTCCTGATTTTGATAAACAGAGCCTGATCCTGTTTACATCCACAGTATGGCCCCATTTGCATTCAATTGGTTGAGGAAGCCTCCTTCAAATGCTATTTTAAACTGCTGCATTATGTTTAAATGAATGCAAATCTGTTTCTATAATCTAAGACGGCCTCCAGCGCCAACGCAGACTGTAGGAACTGAGAGGGAAAAAGAAGATGAGTAATAATAATCATTGCATTTGATATAGCCCATTTCACGCTAGGAGTTTGTCTCAGAGAGCTTACAGGAAACATAGCAGCTGTGTATTCTGTTGGCAAATAAACTGCGTAAATGATGTCTAAAAGCTGTTAAATTTACTCAGCATTAAAATCAGGGGGAGCGTGCAACATAACATCCAGTATCACTGTGCCACGTTACAATAATAATGGTGCTTCAAATCGGCATGTGTGATGAGCATAACTAACATTATAACAATATAGGGGACAATTACTGTATATTAGAAGTCTAATGTATTTCAGTTAATACCACATTCCCTTTAACTGGCACCTAATGTAATATACTTGTAAACCTATCCTGGAATAATTCAATACAAGCAATTTGTTTTGGAAAAGATCATTTCACTCCCACCAAATAGTTCTGAAGGTAAAAATGCTGCAATTGAGCAACGGATCAAACCATACATCCATCCACACACACCCAATTTACCTGATTACTTTCCAGAAGTTCTTCAGGCTGTGCAGCTCCATTCAGCAGCTTTCGAGGATCTTTCTCTCGGATTGTGTTGAAGATCCAGCCACCAATATCATTCCCTCCTGATGCTTGTGCCTCAGTGTCCCTTATATTTAAAAGGATTACATAATTTGTTATTTTCCCTGTGTAAATGCACTTTCACTGAAAATCAAATGTAATTGACCACACAACCACTCCACAAGAGTCAAGTTAAGTTTTATTAACTCTACAATTTTTCAATCTCACAACACAGGGCAGCCCCATTATAATTTGGCGATTTAGGTCAATAAACCCAGATCTTACATTATAAGGAGACACACTAAGGGGCGTTCTTCCGCGGTCATCACCAGTATTAGTGTCAGTGCTTCCATGGCCCCACCCTCACCAAATGCTCCACTGGCTCCCTTTTGCAGAACGGGGATCTTTACACTCACATACAAATCACTTCATGCCCTTCCATCTCGCTACCTCAACCCCCCAACTTCACTCAGCTAGTTCCAGTCTCCTGCTCGTCTCTTGTTTCGCTATGCTCCAGTATCGGCAGCTGTGCCTTCAGGCACTGCATTACACTCTCTGGAACTCAACCTCAATGTCTTTGTCTTGCCCCCTTCTTCCCAGGTTTCAGATCAGACCTGAAGACCTTACTCTTCGACTATCACCACCCATTTCTCCCTGGCTTGGTGACAAACTCCGCCACTGTTAAGTGTTCCAAGACGCTACCTTACGTAAAGGACACTACCTAAATGCAAGTTGTTGTTGTTATCAGGTGGCCTCTAATGACATTTCCGGTGTGCTACACAGAGCTTCCTACACATAGCGTGAATGCACAGTGGAGAGAAATCAATGTGTATAGTGTACATGCATGCTGTTGGTATAGTCTGGGTGCAATAGTAAGTGTAATAACAGGATCAGTTTATATTGACACTGTCATCAGCAGAAGGTAATGGTACAGATTAGGAACAGGTAATGCAAAGAACCGTCAATAGAGCAAAGGCCATAGACAACACTTTCTGAAGTACGAGACATCACCTCACTCACAGAAGCAAATTAGAATTTGATCAATTGCAGAAAAAGATCTCATTTACACTAATGTATAAGAGAAAAGTGCAATATGGAAAAAACAGATCTGGTACATAAAGTACCTTACTTTTTGTTATTTTAAAAAGAAAGTCACACTTCTTCAAAATGATGATAGTGGACTTGCCAAGATGACACCTTTGTAATGTATGAATACAATAGAATATTCTATATAGAATACATACGATAAGGGTTTCCTCTCTTTGGAGCAGCGCAGTTTTCAATAGGATGTCTATCCATGAAATTTGATCATTTCCTTCAGGACAACAGCAAAGCAAAGGCTTCCTGAGCGTACGTACACTGATCATAATTTTCTATTACAATGCACCGCATTTGATAGTTGAAAATTTTAATAATAATAATCTTTGCATTTGATATGAAGTCTTATGATATCACCAATATCTCAAAGTGCTTCAATTGCCCACATTAATGTTAAATGTTTTTTTGATTTAGGTATCTATACATATTCAATTGTCTTATAGGCATTATATATGTAAGTTAAATGTCATGTCGCATGCCAACACAGTATCAGTCTAGTCCAGCTGGTAGCAATCTTGCCTCGAAGTCAGAGGTTTTTGATTTCATATCAGCCTAGGCTCTGACTAGTGGTGCTACAAAATGCAAGTTCTTTCTTTCCACCATAGTGAAATATAAGCGTGTCATCTTATCCAAAAGAACTGGACCGAAAAATAAAAGCAGAAATCACAACTCAATAATGTAAGTTACCAGTCGAACTTACGAATCAGACCCATCTGAGCTGGAATCCTCATGGTTCTGTTCAGCCTTCCACCTTTTGTACCTATCAATTAGTTCTGTCAAATAAGATGTCTTCTTGGAATTCCGCAGGATGAATTTATGCTTCAGCAGTTCCCTTGCTGTAGGTCTCTAACAAAATAAATTGGATAATTTAGTAATTCCTTGGAAACAGCAAGAAACATTAAATTTTTTCATCATCATAGTAGCAAGTGACAGCAAAACTCTCTTGTATTAAGAGACCTGTGGGCTGAAGCAATATGCCATGGGATTTTCAACATAAAACCTAATGTTCTCACTTCAGTTGCAACGATTAATTGAAAAAACAATCATTTGATTCACGAGTCTAATTTAAACCCAGGAATTCTGTACACTAAGCTTTCTTCTCACTTATATTCGCGTTTAAAAATCAGCAATGAGGGTGTGGGGGTAGATGGTAATGTAAGTGGGTTCTCTGGAGGGTTGAAATTGGATGGGCCGAAAGTCCTTCTTCATCTAAACCAATTGTGTGATCTTCTGGCCTCACTTATTTTGGAGAAGGGACTTGCAATAAAAAAATTTAAATGCTTTGGAAATTAATTCTCAGCAACTGTATTCCGCATCCAACTACAAGGTTACAGTATATTGTATGGTTCCAACAAAAAACTAAAATACCAAACAAGGCAAGAAGAAAGTTGGGCTTCCAAAAAAAATTCCTTTGAAAAAAGTATATATTTTTTGAATGATCTTAAATGCTTACAAAACTTGGCTCTTTATTCAAGCAGGCTTCTACAAATTCTTTGAGGGGTTTACTGTAGCTCCCCTCCAACGTTGGTGGGTTGTTCTTTGGAATGAGAAACAAAACTTTCATCGGATGCAGCTCGGAATGTGGCGGCTCTCCTTTTGCCAGCTCTATCGCAGTGATTCCTAAAGACCAGATATCTGCCTATTAAAACAAAAGAAGAGATCACTTGCCATTCAATTCTCAGCTGGGATGTGTTTTAGAAGCAAGCATGCTTTTGTAAATAGTTATTAGCATTTCACCTTACAATAAGGCGACTTAAATAGCATAGAAACAGAATACGTCTTTCAAAATGAAGGTTCAAACAGAACAATTTTGTTTGAACCTTCATTCAGAAAGACATATTCTGTTTCTATGCTATTTAAACCCTTTCAATGATCAAATATGCAAAGGAGCTTTGGAAACAGATTAAATACAGTATATCTCAATTTAATAAACAGCAACAATGTGGTTTAATTGTTCACAGGAAGGAAATGCAATCAGTCACTCCACTGTACATTCTTGACCGAGCTCAAGGTTGAAATACCACACGTAGAACAGAATCAAAATCAACTCCTAAACAGGCGTTTACTGTATCTCCCCTTATTTTATGAAGTTGTCTATTAATAAGTCAGCTTTTTTAGTTCGTTCGTTTTACATGATAAACAGAAGCATAGCAGCTGCCCTGACAGAGTAGCTGCAAGTCAATGTAAACTAATCTTTGTTTACAGATTTGCATCACATGACTGAAAATTAATAATCTTGCAATTGATATTGCGCCTTTTACTATAAAGTGTATATTTTACTGTAAAGTGTAGTGACTGTATTTTGTAGCTCAATGAGCCCCAGCAAAACAACAGCCAAACTTTTAACATACATCTCTTTTAGAAAACCATTTCAATATGTTTGCATGTTTTGTCATCAAAGAGAAACTTGGTGGAGGAAAAAAAGTTCGCTTTTTTAAAAAAATCTAAATGAAGTTCCAGAACTGAATATCAAAGCAGGACATTTGAAAATGCTTTTCTTTTAAAAAAAACTTATTTTACAATAAACTTATGATAAATTCAATTAGATCAGAAGGTCTTGGGTGTGTAATTTTGTAATCAAACCAGGACTTGCAAGTTGTCCCAATACTTTTTGAAACTGATTTGTTTATTTGCAAAGGGTAAATGAAACTTGCTGTACATTTCATTTCTCAAATGACTTCAAAACATTTATCTGCAGAAATTTATCCCAGTGCCTTGTGACATCCTCCCGAAGTGAAAGGTGGGATACAAATGTAATTTTGTATTTTGTAAATCATTTGCTTATACACTTTTAATATATTTTCATGTTTAGAAAGATGCCCGTTTTTCAATGTACAAACATTTACTTATGGAGTAAGTCCTAGAGGGGGTGCAGCGTAGATTCACTAGGTTAGTTCCTGGGATGAGGGGACTGACCTATGAGGATAGGCTGAATAAACTAGGGCTATATTCTCCAGAGTACAGAAAAATTAGGGGAGATCTTATTGAAACATAAGATTCTTAAAGGGCTGGATAAAGTAGACACTGAGCGTCTGTTTCCCCTGGTAGGAGAATCTATAACCAGGGGTCACAGTCTTAAAATTAAGGGTCAGCCTTTTAGAACATTTCTTCACTCAGAAGGCAGTGAATTTATGGAATTCACTACCCCAGAAGGCTGTAGATGCTCAGTCCTTGAACATCTTCAAGGCTGAGACTGATAGATTTTTTAAAAAATAGAAGGATTAGGGGATATGGGGACAGGGCAGGTAATTAGAGTTAGGTCTGAAGATCAGCCATGATCTTATCGAATGGCGGGGCAGCTCGAGGGGCCAAATGGCCTACTCCTGCTTCTAATTCTTATGTTCTTATGAGTATTTACATACAGGCTCAACAATTTTATAGTGTTAGATATAATACTAAGATACTACTGGAAAACAACGTTTGGGAGAAATGTTTTAGTAAAATCGGGACAGGTTTTGCATCTGTGTGAAGCTTTAAGCAAATGGATTTGTCCACATGATCTGAGTTATCAATGTTATTAGTGGATTGAGCAGCAGAGGGCACGTACCAGGCAGTTTAGTTTTTGCCAGGCAACAGTGAACTACTAACAAAAGACTGACTGCACATCAGGTTGGCCTAGTTTGATTGTTGCTAGGATTCAACCCCAGGGTCTTGTAATCATTTTATACAAAGAGAACCATTAGGCAAAGCCAAGCGAAGCTGTACAAGACCTGCAACCTGAATGGCTGCCCTAGGACACAGGCCTGCAATGAGCAAAGGAAGTCATCTATCTTTCCTTCATTTAAAGAAAATAGTGTTTGGTTTCCAATCTTTACTGTATTTCTGAGGCCCTTTATTTGTTTACCCTTGGCTCCCAGCAATAGTTCCTTCCACCCAACCCCACAAACCAAGTTTATTTACTGTCTGGAATTTTGCTAGCTGCTCAAAACATTGCTATAGGAGGCCATAGCTCATTCATTTTTTGTCTCTTACTGGTCACATTGCCGAGAGAAACTCATTTAATTTAGTCCAACGCTCTAGCACAGGGTGACTGACTACTTGGTGAATCACAGCTACTGAAAGTGAATTTTTAAATCAAATGCTAACAATCTAAGCATTTCCAGGAAAACATCACAGGTTATAACATTTCAGTGAATTTGAGCACTTCAGACCAGTTAATTTTAACATGTTTAATTGCACTGGTTTAAGTGCCCAGTGTATTGTGGGCTCGCACTGGGCACAGATGGATTTGGTGGCACCATGTGAACCATACTGAGATAATTCTAGGTCAAACTGCAGAGCTTTCCAATTATTGTGAAAATATGTTTCTTGTTCCATTTTCCACATTACACATTCTTAAAATAAATCTATGTTTTACCAATTTATCTTTTTTTTAAGCTTTAGTTATTGAAATAAGCTCCCTGAAAATGTAGACTTATGGGTCATTTCAACTATAGCTTTATTTATGGGAAATTTGCACCAGCCCCTAAGCTCTTATTCTTCCACCTTCTGGAAAACAAATGTTTCTCATTACCAGCTGGCAAAGACCTTGAGCTGTCCTTACGCTGTCGTCACTATTCACAATGGTTCAATACTACTGCAGCTATAATGTTCACCAGATGAACAGGAACAATACATTGCGGATTTAATTCTGAAAGCTTTCAATGTCAACAGTTATACCAGATGAGGGGAACAACAACAACAAACAAATAAACCCAAGACCTCACTGGGCTCACTCTTCAAAATTCAGTTTGTCGCTGGCCTAAAAACTGCATGTTGCAGAAATCTCCAATAATAAGCAGCATTAAGCACTGCGACTTCGCTTCAGTGTTGTACTAATGCAAGAGATGAAAAGCTTCTAACGTGATGCATCAGTACCTGAAACAAAACTTTACGCTGACAAAGCACAAGCATGGTTCCAAACTGAGCTTCATCAGTAATTTGTTTTTTTTCCCTCAGGGTGAAACTCATGGAGTATAAACACCTTGTTGCACCCAATGACACATTTCCATGCCGTATCACTCTAGGTAACTCAAAGCTAAATAGATTTTTTTTTTTAAAAAGAGATATGGTATACTACTGATAACTCATTATTAAACTAGTCAGTAACCCTCAGTCAGTGTTTTAACTGCTTCAGTGTAATATGACAGTCTGCAATATGACCCATCTGTTCCATCGTGTTTTCGGCCAGTTTTCCCCTCCACCTCAATTTTCCTCCTCCCCCTCAACCATAAAATCTTTCTTTCACAAAATGGTGACCATTTGTTTTTGTTATAAAACCACAATCATTTCTATAGGAAATTGTGAAAGAAAGGAAATACCCTTTCCTGTAAAGTTGTACTATTCATCTTTCCAGTTGAATCAACAATGATCAATGCATTAGTCAACATTTTTAAAGGTTACTGTAAAACTTGCTTTATTTTCACAAGAGTTTATAAACAGTGGAATTCGAAATGGAAACAAATAGTGTAAATATATACGCAAAGTTCACAGCAACAAGTAGAGACTTGGAGATTGAAATTTTCCCTCAACTAGGGTATTGGTAGGGCCACCCTGGAAGATACAAAACAAAATACAAAAGTACATTTGTAAAGCGCCTATCACATCAGAAGGACGTCCCAAGGCGCTGAAGATAACCGGTCTAACATTTATCGCAGTATTGTATGGTCTATAATGACAGCCACAAGGTAGAACACAGAATATTGACACAGCACCTTTATAATGATCAAAGAGTTGCTGGCTGGTGTGTAATAAAACACAACTATAGTCTGTGCCTTGAAGATTCAAAAACACCTCCCCAACCAAGTCCTACTTCTAAACACCCAATCAAGTCATATTTCCAAAATATTGAAATATGGGAAAAGGCTGGAAGAGGGTTGGTAAAAAGGTCATCCTGAAAAATACAAAGATTATCTGTGGCATACATATGGTGGGTTAAATGGCCTCCATCTGTTCTGAACATTTCTGTGTTTGGTTGAAACTCCTCCCCCAGTCAAATTACATTTCCATATTGTGGTTTATTTTGCACAATCTGAAGGAGATGATGATTTTGTTGCACTGCCTCTAGTCAACCAACCAGTCAATCAAAGCATCAGTACTTTATCAGTACTGCAATGGTCTAAGCCTTGTCCTGGTCTATCGGAGTGGGGAAGAAAAGTAGGATAATTAGAAGTTTTTTTTTTGTACTGAATAAAACATTCCCAATTCTTAGAAAAGTACTAAATGCCCTTCCTTGTGAAAGTACAAGATTATTTTCACAAAATGCAGACAGATTGCTGCTCCCAAACAGAGACTTGTGCTGGCCAGTTTGAGTGTAAGAAATCTACACTCTTATCAACTTATTACATAACAGACAACTATTCAACTCCCAAACTGACCGAGCGATAATGTGGTCGTGACAAACCTCACCTTCTGTTATACCTGAGGCAGCAACTAGAAAATATGCTAAAACAAGAGCGGCTTGTTTGGCCAATCAAAAGTGTTACAGTAATTTATTTTAATTTAATTTCATATTCCTTAATATTTACTTCCCAATCATAGAATCATACAGCACAAAAAGCCAATTGCGCACAGCAATGTCCCACAAACAGTCGTAGATTGAAAATGACCAATTTATTATTGTTTTTGGTTTTGGAGGGATTATTATTAGGCGTTTGGAGTAAGGAAACTTGCCCAAGGTTTCGCCCTGCCTGGAATTGAACTCAGGTCTCTCGCTTGCAAAGCGAGTGCTCTAACCACTGAACTACAGGATTCCACGGAAGGGTGTTAAGGCTTTGGAAAGGGTGCAGAGGAGATTTACGAGGATGGTACCAGGAATGAGGGACCTTGATTATGAGGAAAGGCTAGAGAGGCTTGGATTATTCTCATTGGAGCAGAGAAGTCCTGTAGCTTCCTGACGTGAAAAGCGCTATATCAAATGCAAGGATTATTATTATTATTATAGTGTGGTGCCCAGAACTGGGAACAGTATTCTAACTGAGGCCTAACCAGTGTTTTATATAGGTTAATCATAACCTCCTGACTCTTGTACTCTATGCCCCTATTTATAAAGCCTAGTATCCCATATGCCCTTTTTACAGCTTTATCTACCTGTCCTGCCACCTTCAAGGATTCATTTACCTGCACCCCCAGGTCTCTCTGTTCTTTTACCCCCCCTTAAGATTGTATTACTTAGCCTATATTGCCTTCCCTCATTCTTTCTACCAAAATGCATTACCTTGCATTTCTCCACATTGAAACTCATCTGCCATGTGTCTGCCCATTTTACTATTCTGTCTGTCTTCCTGCAGTTGGCTACTATCCTTCTCACTGTTTACCACCCTACCTAACTTTGTGTCATCCGCCAACTTGGCAATAGTGCTTGCTATACCCAAGTCCAGATCATTTATGTATATTAAGAAGAGCAGTGGTCCTAATACCGATCCCTGGGGGACGCCACTGTACACTTCCCTCCAGTCAGAAAAGCAGCCGTTCACCACAACTCTCTGCTTTCTGTCTCCCAGCCAGTTCTGGATCCATGCTGCCACTGTCCCTTTTATACCATGGGCTTCTATCTTTCTTACAAGTCTTTCATGTGGCACTTTGTCAAATGCCTTTTGAAAGTCCATATAAACTACATCAATTGCACTACATTCATCCACGCTTTCCGTTACCTCATCGAAAAATTCTATTAGATTTGTTAGACTATGTTAGACAAGTATCTATTCAACAAACTTCTAAACATTCCATTTAATTGTGGACCCCATGTCCTTATGATTAGAGTTTTGCACATTGCCATTACCCTTTGTGTGAAGAACTATAGTTGGATTTGTGCACATTTTTCTGGTGTGCATTATTTCCAGTAGAACAAGCCAGTCCATTGTATTATGATTGAAATAAAATTTTAGTTCACTTTCCGGCTCCCTTGTCCAGGGGAGCTGAAGTACACCTGCCACCACACCAAGTGAAATCAGCTGATTCCAGAGTGACCATAGTTGGAATATACCTTGGCTTGCATTTATCAATTGAACCATTATTAAGCTTAGATCCTTTTAACCAACATCAGATTGCACCATATCAAGCAATGCTGTAGCAGGTAGAAATTCACCAGAACCCCAGCTGTCATAGCCAATAAAAAATGGGGGAATGAATAGGTCAATGTATCGCGGTTATGATCATACATATCTTTGAACACGAGACAATGTAAAATACTAAATAATAAAGTTCTACAAGAGGCAATACAAACTGCAGCAGGATAAAATGAAATGTCAAGCTTATTTATTTGACTGGGAACACTCAGCAGGTCAGGCAGCATCCATGGAGAAAGGAAAGTGAGTCACACCCTTAGTCAGAACTGGGGCATTTTAGGAGGGAGAGGCCTTTAAAGGCTAACAGAGTGGGGGGAGGCAGGGCAAGGAAGACAAAGGAGAAAATGGGGTAGAGGACAGGGAATGATGGGTTAAAGAGGTGTTAAATGATGCAAAACAACAACAACAAGATTGTTATAGAGCGCCTTTCACGTCGGGAGGAAGTCCCAAGGCGCTGGACAGTTGGATCAGGACCCGAGCAGGGGGGAAATGGTCAGGGTGAGGGGAGGGAAGGGAGGGAGCGAGGAGGGGGTAGAGAGTCGAGAGGGGAGCTGAAGACACGGTTGAAGAGAAAGGTCTTGAAACAGGCCTTGAAGGAGGAAAGGGAGGAGGCGGCGAAGGCACTGGGGGATAGAGTTCCAGAGCCTAGGGGCTGAGAGGCTGAAGGCCCGGCCACCGATGGTAGGGCAGTTGGGGCGGGGGATGTGGAGCAGACCGGTGCCAGAGGAACGGAAGGTACGTGCAGGTACATAGGGGGATAGTAGGTCGGAGAGTGCAAGACTGTGAATGGCTTGGTAGGTGAGGATCTTGAAATCAATCCTCTGGGGGATGGGGAGCCAGTGGAGGCGAACGAGGGTGGGAGTGATGTGTTCCCGAAGCCTGGTGCGGGACAGTACACGAGCTGCAGAGTTCTGAATGACCTGCAGCTTGTGGAGGGAGGTGCCGGGAAGGCCGACGAGGAGAGAGTTCCCGTAGTCCAGCCTTGAGGTGATAAAGGCGTGGACCAGTGTTTCAGCAGCGTGAGGTAGTGCCGTAGTCTGGCAATGTTCCGGAGCTGGTGGAAGGCGGTGCCAGTTGTGGCGCGGATGTGGGGAAGAAAGGACAGATCAGGGTCGAACAGAACACCGAGGTTCCTGACCGGCTTTGAGAGGTGGAGAGTGCAGCCTTGGAACAAAGGGGGGATTGCAACAAAACAGGGGAATAGAGGTATTAATAATGCAAAACAAAGTGGGGGGGGGGAATTACATCAAAATAGGCAAACCAATAGGCAATTGTTCCAATTTTTCCCCCCTTTGTTTTGCGTCATCATAGAATCATAGAATTATACAGCACAGAAGGAGGCCATTTGGCCCATCGTGTCTGTGCCGGCTCTTTGAAAAGAGCTATCCAATTCAATCCCACTCCCCTGCTCTCTTCCCATAGCCCTGCAAACTTGTCCTCCCCAAACAGTTATCTAACTATTATGATCAGTCTGAATAGCCGAATAATTCTGACGAGGAAACAGATGAAATGGAAAATGACTTTTCCCAACATCGATCTCTCTCTTTCGTGTCTATAGGTCAGTGGTCAAAGTATGAGGTTATGTTTTTCCAACTGCGGAACAATATTGTATACCTGGTTCCTCTAACCTCTCATTTTCACCCATAAATATATGGTCAATTCACTTTACAGCATATTCTGTGAAGCTCTTTGAGACGTCTAGAAGACGCAAAAAGCACTATATCAAATGCAAGGATTATTATATTCTTTGCCTTAAATGCAAGATTGTACAGCAATGGAAAAAAAATGTAATCAAGTCTTAATTGGAGGCCTATTTCTGTAGTTCTTTTAAAGAATAGCAAATCAATTTCTTTCCAGTGAAGATTGAATTTGAGATTTTTTCAAAATTCTGCTTTTCTTAAAATATAAGATAGTTGTCAACAAGCCCAAGGCCCTCCTGAATGGCCCCCATAAGCGCTACCACACCTCAGGCATTGGCAGCATCACCATCTATGCATGCACACTCCACCATACAAAGTCAGTCCGGAACCTTGGCGTCTTAGTTTGACCCTCAACTATAATTTCCAAACAAATTTTTTTTCCTCCCACCCCTGGCCAGTCACTTACGGGGTACCCCAAGGCTCCATCCTTGGCCCCCTTCTTTCTCCTTATCTAAACCCTTCCTCTCAGCAATGTCATCTAGAGACATTCGGTCAACTTCCACATGTATGTCAATGACACCCAAATCTACTTCTCCTCCAACTGCGACTCCCAGTCCGCTGATGTCCTGTCAACTTGTTTGACGGACATCAAGGCCTGGGTGAGCGTAAATTTCCTGCAGCTGAATGTCGGCAAGATTGAAGCCATACTCTTTAACGTTTTCTCTCCTGTGGGTCTGAACTCCTCAACCTTCCCGGCTCTCCCTCAGACTCTCTGAACCCATACGCAACTTAGGCATCAGGTTCAATCCCCAGCTTTCCTTTCTAACCCAAGTCGGTGCCATGATCCGCTCTGCCTTTCCCCCACCTACGCAACACTGCCTGACTGCCAATGCCTCTCCCACTCAGGCCACTAAAACCTTCATCCCCGCATTTATCACATCTTGCTCGACTACGTCAACTCCCTGTTTGTTGGCCTTCCTGACTCCAGCGCTTTGGGATATCCTCGCAACATGAAAGGCGCTCTATAAATGTAATTTTGTTGTTGTGGTTGACAACCCTTCCCTCCACAAGTTGCAGATCATCCAGAACTCGTGTCCTCTCCCGCACCAAACTCATGACCCTATCACACCCATCCTCGCCCGGCTCACATCCCCCAGAGAGCTCAAAATCCTCATCCTCACGTTCAAGGCCCTCCATGGCCTTGCTCCTTCCTACCTCTGTGATCTGCTAACTCCATATCAACCTGTGCACTCCCTCCACTCAACGGGCTCTCGCCTGCTCCACGTCCCCGCCACCATTGGCGGTCAGACCTTCAGCCTCTCTGCTCCCACCCTTTATAACTCCATCCCACAGTCCCTTTGGCTTGCTCCCCCCTTATCTCCTTCAAGGCATCTCTCAAGACCCTCCTCTTCGACCGCACCTATCCACACCTACCCGCCCCCCCCCCACCCACTACCACAGCTCCCCGATCCCCAACCCCCAGATCAGGTCCAAATCGCTGACTGTCCAGCGCTTTGGGACATACTCCCAATGTGAAAGGCACTTTACAAATGTAATTTACTGTTGTTTTTGTCGTCATCATCAAAGTTATGACCATAAGATGTTTTGTGCCAATGCGTAAAGATGTAAACCTTTCCGAACATCAACCTCTTTAAGCTTGAAACACTATTAATTCTTACCTTCGAATCATATGCAGACTGCTTTATAACTTCTGGAGCCATCCAAAACGGTGTGCCTACAAATGTATTTCTTTTTATTTGGGTATCCGTCAGTTGTCCAGCAACACCAAAATCTGCTAGTTTAACTTCTCCTTGCTCAGACAGCAAGACATTGGCAGCTAAAAAAAATGATAAAGAGGTGAGAATTTAAGATTAAAAGTATTTTGCTAAGAGTATACAATGTGTATTCTTTCCTACCTTTGATATCTCTGTGGATCTTCTTTTCTGAGTGCAAATATTCAAGGCCTTTTAAAATTTCTCTTAATATTGTAGCAATCTGGTTTTCATCCAGTAAGCCAGGTTCTAACTATAGAGAAAATGTATACAAAAACAAATCTTTACAAATACTGGATAAAACAGATTTACAAATCCGTAAAATCTAATCAGTCAGAGTTTCCCACTCTCGTTCACTATTCAACAACCCACAGCCTTTCCTTAATCCCCCCATCACCTCTCAACATTTCTCACAATATTTGTGTGGGTTGGTGTGGTGCTTTCCATGACTTGCATAAGCCTCCTGATACTTTGAATGCAGTTCATCTTCCCAACAATTCATTCCACTCCCTAATTCCCCATTGTTTCTGATACAGAACACTTAGTTTCCCCCCCACTAAGTAAATGCAATCTGAATGGTGGGGGAAGAAGAGGAAACAGACAACGTTATTTCTATTCCAATAGTTTTTTTAAACCTTAAATTATGCTGTTATGTCAAAAAAGGTTTGATATTAAGCAACTTCCTTGAAAAAATAATCCAGTTAATGGCATCCAGCAATAAAACTACTGCACATGGGTCACCTTAGGACATAGGATTGGGAGAATATGATACAGTTGAGATAAGATTGGGATAAACTGTGAACCGCCTTAAAATCAATGGGATAAACTGTGAACCGCCTTAAAATCAAATAGCACTGGCTCACACAATAAGAATGACCACTTGGGCACGAATCTGAAGTGAGTGTGTGTGCCTGTGCATGCAGACACATGCCAGCAATCTTAGAAGAGGAGGGGGGAAATTGTAAAAGTAAAAGGGCAAAGGATTGCCTGGATGTCAAGGTAGTTATTACTAGAAAGTAGAAAACCTTCAGTCCTCAAGAATACAACCATTTGGGATGATCCTCAGAGAAACCATAGCCAATTACTGGCATGTGTCTGCATACACAAGCACAGGCACACACACTCACTTTAGATTTTTGCCCAAGTGGTCATTCTTAATGTGTGAGCCATGCTATTTGATTTTAAGGCGTTCACAGTTTATCCCAATCTTATCTAGTGGAGTCCTGTCGCTCAGCGGTTAAAGACCTGGGTTTGAATCCCAGCAGGGTGAAACTTTGGGAAAGTTTCCTTACTCCTTAAACCCTCAAGAAAAAAAAACCAATAATAAATTGGTCACTTCAAACCACGACTGTTTGTGGGACCCTGCTGTGTGCAATTGGCTGCCGCATTTCGCCCACAAATATACAGTTAATTCACTTTACAGTCTATTCTGTGAAGCGCTTTGAGACGTCTAGAAGACGTGAAAAGCGCTATATCAAATGCAAGGATTATTTATTATAATTTCAGGATCAGCAATCCTGGACACTGATCATCAGGTGAAGAAGAACCAAAAGTCAAGACAGTTTCATACATGGAATCAATAGTGCTACAGTTAGAGAAATCATGATGATCCCGAAGACATGACAGGGTCATTTGTCTTCTGCAGGACAAAGTTCAAAACAGAAACGATCAAGAACTGTTTTCCCTGGTAGAACAGCATCAATCAAGACTGTTGACGGATGAAAAATAATTTGCTGTGAGCAAGGCTCCAAGATAGTGTGAGATTGGAGAAGGTCACAGTTTGCACAGAGGAGTATGAAACTCATGGAGTGATTCCAGTGATTTTCCCTTGGAAACTTGGGATTACATGACCAGATTTTTAAATGCTTTAGCTTTACAAATATTATACTTAGCCCAAAATTTCTATAAATTGCTGATCCATAAAGAAATATCTAACAGTTGTAACTTGGCTCAATCACTCATTTCATTGAATCCAAGACTTTACTATGATATTTCACAAGAAGCTGCGAGTGGGCAGAAAACAACAGATGTGCTGGCCAATAATCCCTGTACTGAACAATGATGATATTGGAATATTTTACACATCAAATAAAAATCAAGCACTTAAGCGTCCATACAAAGCATATTGGACTTCTGAACTCCTAATATACAAGTTGTCTTAAACCAGCTGTACTACAATTGGTTCTGTATCATATATGGTTTGTTATTTCTTATTGCTTTTTCATGCTTTCAGCAATATTTAAAAGACTAAGTCTCACAGACAGCTGTAAGGCAATTGCACAAAGTAAAAATAATGCTTTATCCAAAGCCTTGTATGAGCAGATAGAATTAAAACAGTAAGTATAATACGGTTGGAAACCTGGAAGACTCAACTGTCAAAAATCACTGCCCATTATGTAACTGAGCTCAATAGACCATAAAGGATGAAGGAGTGATTCCCTGGTATCTGTTGAGTCAGATCAGCACGGCTGTGGTGCAGTGGGTGCTGCAATCAACTTCCATGCAACTGGCTGGGGGAGGAGGATGCAAGAATAAAAAACAATCAACTTCTGTGGGAAATGTTCATATATGGTCTCTAGGTAAGGACAGGATCTGGTTTGACTGTAAAAAGAACAAAGATGGAATGCTATGGTGTGAAAAAAATGGCTATGACAAGTGAGTGGCCTACTGTGATCTTAAAATTCTGAGGTGCTCATAATAATAATCCTTGCATTTGATGCAATGCCTATGATGTCAATTGTCCCAAAGCACTTTATAGTAATTGCTCTCAAGCATGGTGACGTGAGCCAGTGGAGGTGAGCGAGGGTGGGAGTGATGTGGTCCCGAAGCCTGGTGCGGGACAGTACACGAGCTGCAGAGTTCTGAATGACCTGCAGCTTGTGGAGGGAGGTGCGGGAAGGCCGGCGAGGAGAGAGTTCCCATAGTCCAGCCTTGAGGTGATAAAGGCGTGGACCAGAGTTTCAGCAGCGTGAGGGGTGAGGTAGTGCCGTAGTCTGGCGATGTTTCGGAGGTGATGGAAGGCGGTGCCAGTTGTGGCGCGGATATGAGGAAGAAAGGACAGCTCAGGGTCGAACAGAACCCCGAGGTTCCTGATGGCTTTGAGAGGTGGAGAGTGCAGCCTTGGATGCTGATGCTGTCAGCGCCTGAGGTGCGGAGGCGCTGACGTGAGCCAATCAGGAGGGCCTCAGTTTTGTGCACGTTGAGCTGAAGAAAGTTGTCTCTCATCCAGGACTCGATTTCGGACAGGCAGGCTGTCAGGACATCGGTGGTCGTGGAGTTGAGGGTAGAGGAGGAAAGGTAGAGTTGGGTGTCATCCGCATACATGTGGAAGTTAACCCCATGTCTGCGGATGAGGAGGGACAGGTTGATGATGTCTGTGATATGTGGGGCAAGGAGGTGGAGCTGAGAGATAAGGAGTGGAGTGGGGATGGGGTCAAGGGAGCAGGTGGTGGGTTTCAGGGACAGGATGAGTTTGGTGCCAGAGGGTGGGGAAACGGGTTTGAAAGTGTGTAGGGGAAGATGGGTAGGAGTCAGAGTGTGGGAGGGAAGGGGTGGGGTGAGGTGTGGGTGGAAGTTGGAGGGGGAGTGACCACGGAGCGGATTCCCTTGATCTTGGATTCAAGGAAATCCAGCATCTCCCGCAGTGAAGGTTGGAGGAGATGACCTGCGTGGGGTGGGGGGGGGGACGGAGGAGTCAGGATGTGGTAGAAAACAGAAGCCTGGGGTTGTTCTTCGCCTCCAGGATTATCCTGGAGTAGAAGGACAACTTGGCCGAGGCTAGAGTGGAGCGGTAGATTTTGAGGAGGTCCAGCCAGATTTGTCGGTGGACCGTTAGGCCAGATTTGAGGCAGGTGCGTTCAGCGGCCCGCACCTTGCTCTTCAGTGAGCGGAGGTAGGTGGTGAATCAGGGGAAGAGCGAGAGTAGGAGACAGTACGGGAGGTATTGGGGGCAAGAGTGTCGAGTGTGGAGGAGAGGGTGTTATGGAGGAGGGTGAGAGCAAAAGAGGGGTCAGTGAGGGTTGAAGGCCAGAGGGAGAGGAGTCCAGAGGACTCCAAGGCAGCGGTTAGGGATTGTGGGGTAACTTCTTCCAAGGGCGGTAGAAGATGGTGGTGGGTCTGGTGGAGGTGGGGTGGGGGATGGAGGTGGTGAAGGAGATGAAGTGGTGATCGGAGACGGCCTTGTCGGTTATGGTGACATCTGAGACACTGAGGACCCGGGTGATCACCAAATCGAGTGGGTGGCCGTGACTGTGAGTGGCGGAGTTGATGTGGAGGGAGAGGTTGAGCGAGGAGAGCAGGGAAGAGAAGTCCGAGGAGATGGAGCAGGAGGGGGTGAAGTGCAGGTTGAAGTCGCCCAGGATGATGAGGCGATCAGAGCAGAGGCAGAGAGATGTTAGTAGGGTAGAAATATCGGAGATGAAGGTGGGAGAGGTTTTAGGGGGCCGGTAGAGGAGGAGTAGGGGGATAGGACAAGTGGTGTCCTTGAGATAAGGGCTACACCACCGCCACGGCGGTTGGGGCGAGGGATGTGGTGGGAGGTGTAGCCGGGTTGTGTGGCCTCCGTGAGGGGGAAGGTGTCGCCTGGGGTGAGCCAGGTTTCCGTTAAGGTCATGGTGTCAACGCTCTCATCAAGGATGAGATCGTTGATGACCAGGGCCTTGTTACAGAGGGAGCGGACGTTTTGTAGTCCGATGTGGAGGCAGCGGTTGACAGAAGGGTGTGTGGGGAGGGAGGGGCGTCCAGGTTGTGAGGCAGGGGTGGGGGGGATGGGGATGAGGGAGGAGAGATTGGCTCCCTGGGTCTGTGTCCAGGGTGGCTGGCAATGTGGTGGAGAATGGAGCAGTCGGTGTGGCTGCTGCTGGACAGCCAACGCCGAGTGCCACGGTGAGCCCGGCGGAGGATTCGCAGGCTGGAACAGAGGGAGGTTGTGGGAGTGTCAAGTGGGGATAGAAGCCGAGGGGGACGGAGAGAGAGGAGGACAGAGCGGGTGAGGTGCAGAGGGGGGAGAGTTTGGGGGGAGGGAGGGGGTAAGGGGGCTCGGGTCAGAGCGGCAGCCATAATGCGCACGCGGAGACCGGGAGCGAGCGGTCCAGTGGATGGCATTAGCCCATAGGCTGGGGCTGGGGCAGCCAACCCAACAGGACCATGGTGGTCCTGTTCTAGCTTGTAATGTAAACAAAAGTGTGCAGAAAGAAAATCACTCCACTTTTCTGAGAACATATTCAATCCAGTTACCCTAGAATGGCTGTTTCGGCCACAAAAATATATAGTCAATTCACTTTACAGTATATTCTGTGAGGAGCTTTGAGACATCTCAAAGTCCTGTGGAGTCCTTTAGCTCAGTGGTTAAGAGCACTCGCCTCGCAAGCGAGTGCTCTGGGTTTGATTCCCGACGGTGAAACATTGGGCAAGTTTCCTTACTCCACACGTCTCTGTTCACTTAGCAGTAAGCATGAACCCGGTTGTTAATTGTTTAGCTGATTGCTTTTCCGGGGGTAATAATTCCTTCAAAACAAAGAAAATAATAATAAATTGGTCACTCAATCCATGACTGTTTCTGGATCACTGCTGTGTGCAAGTAGCTGCTCCGTTTTGCCCACAAAATATACAGTCAATTCACTGTACAGTATATTCTGTGAAGTGCTTTGAGATGTCTCAAAGGTGTGATAAGGTGCTACATCAAATGCAAGGTCTATTATTATTGTTGTTAATAATAATCCCGGGATCCGTTACTGTAAAGCGCTCTGAGACGCCATCTGGCATGGAGGGCGCTATACAAATCCAAGTTGTTGTTGTTATACTGCACAGTATTAACATGTGCAATGCAGAGTATACATGTTTAGTTACAGTACAAGATTAAAGCAGCTGCAAATCCATATGTGCAAAAATCAAAAAGAATTATAGCAATTACAGTCACTTAAAATAATTTTTCACTAGGATTTTTGAAAAGGCCAAAATTAGACCAATTCCAAGACTAATTTGGCATAAACCTACTACTACAACAGAGGGGAGGCAATCTTAGCTTTCTGGATAGCAGCACAAAGCTTCACAAGAATGTTCAGTGCCTGCAATTCAAGGTGGAGGAAGAGAAAGTCCAACATCCTCTTCATTTGCCTCAGCAAAGTGTTGATCAGTTTTGAGCAATATCAGGAAGAGTATGCCATGCTTGAATCCTGTTTAATGTGCTCACCTGGAGGAAACGGTTTCTCACCCCTCAAGCACGCAATGCTGCACTGAGTGAGAGCAATGATCTACAATGAGAAAGAGGTTTCCATTGTGTCTAGCAAATTTTCTATCAATTTAGGGAAACCCAATCCTAAAACAATGCACTATTTATCCAAACCTGCGTGTTGGGGATGTTCATCCATGCAATCTTGTTGGCCAAATACTTTTTATCTTTAGTTTGCATTGGCACTTTAGCTAATCATTAAGAGGAGTAGCTTCTCTTCTCACAACAAGGGAAGTCAGAAACATAAGGATGCCATCAAACGTGCTCCTCCAGGTTATTACACCTTGGCAGACCTTTTAATCCCAACACCTTGTTCTGTCGCTATTCCTCTTTAAATTTGCTTTAAGGATAGACCTATGAATGAGCACATTTTAAGCATGGACCTGAGAACCATCAACAATGAACAGACAGTGTCCTATTTGCACTAGGTTTGAAAACTTGTTTAAGATGGGCTTCTTAAATTGAATCCGCAAAGAAAACTGCAAATGGTGGAAATCTGAAATGAAACTAGAAAATGCTGTCAAGCCACAACAAAGCAAGTCAATCTGAAAGAGAAAAATAAATTCCAAGTTTTAGATGGAGCCCTTCACCTAAACCCAACATCTGGTGAATACAGATGACAAGACAGGCCAATCTACCCTATCTTGTAATATTGTTTCTGTCCCTGAAACAGTAATGCTCCCAAGCAGTTAAAATAAACAAAGTCACAAGACTTTCCGAAGTATTCCTAGGGCAAATGAAGAAACATTTCACGTGAAAGGTCTTCCTCAAAACAGTAGCCTATTTTCAACTTCAGGTGCTGATTGAACTCTTAAGGGTTTGCAGCGTTTCTGTGTGGGCACCATATTCCCACTAAATTTCAGCACTTTTCAATACTCCTGTGGATAAATTTTGGCAAGAATATGTGTTTTATTTCTCCATTTCAGAGCAGGGAAATAGACATTATGTAGGACTACAGACTTTCATACAGTTTGTAGGAACATATGGGGGTGTGTGCGGGGGGGGGGTGGGGGGAGGAAAGAGTTTTCTTCGGATCGACAGTGCCACTTTGAGACTGTCAATATAACTTTGTTCTCTAATTCTGTGTTCCCGGTTATTCAACTATTCTGCTTTATCTTCAGCCCTGTTTCAGTATTTTAAAGATTCAAGCTAATGTCTCCAAATCAATCTTTCTTTAATGATGATTGTGATAGTGAACCCTGCGCAAGCAGCATAAAGAGTATAATTGTACTTACCAGATCCAAGGCAGAGCCTCCACCTAGATATTCCATTATAATCCATAATTTTGTATCCTGTGGGATGAAATGGACAGTAATCAAAAGTTGCATTCAGGAAAATTGCAACATATGCAATCTGAAAGTGCACATGAAAACACTGCAAATCTCTAATTCCTCATTAGCCAGCTTTCTCATTACCTAACATATTTCAAAAAACTGATCGGTTCAATAAATGTAAGCAATGTGAAGAAACAAAAGCTTTGAAAGCTAGTACTACATTATTTCTTAAAGCAGTCTAAGTAGATAGCTGCATGTGAATGTAAAGTGTACATGGGATGTCTTGAAGCTTATGGCAAGAAAGATAAACCTGGGGATCAATTCTTGCCTTAGAACTCAGTCATTTGTTGAACTGTATAACAAAGAGAATCAGTATTCGTATAATAATCCTTGAATTTGATATCACGTCTTCGAGACGTCTCAAACCACTTCACAGAATACCACTGGAAAGTGGATTGACTGTGTATTTTGTGGGCAAAACACGACAGCCAAGTGTCACAGCAATGTCCCACAAACAGTCGTGGATTGAGTAAGGAATTATTATCCCTGGAAATTCTTTAGTCCATGGTGTTAATTAGTCCTTATACTTTTTTATTTGGATTGGTTTTAGTGATCTAAATTAGTCAAACACAATTAAGGGATACAATTTAACACTCCCAGGTTTTACATATTACTCCCTGTTCACTTTTTATTTAGCGCATGCTCCTCAAGGTAGCAATTTGCATCCTTTGTATGGAAGCATTTTGTTGAGCCTAAACTATGGGAAAGTATCTGAGGAAAATAGTCTGAAGAAGGCAAAAGCATAAGGCAAACCTATTGAACTGGAGTACCTGAACTCTTGGTATTCTTTAAAAACCATCGACAAGCAATTACTGGCTTCTAGCCATCAAGCACCATTGCTCAAGGTATTCGTATCTTTGCACAAATTGAAGCTACAGAACATTTTAGCATTTTTTTCCCCCCAGACACAAAAAGAAACTTAGAATGAGCATTAAATCTCTGATGCTGCCTTTGCCTTTAAAAATTAGCAGATCTGAACACTCGTCAGTGGGGTGGGATGAAATTTAACTGCATCAATGAGTAGATCAACCGATATAAATTCAGATTCTTTACATTGTCTAAATAGCCATTGTCTGTCTCTGAAAAGCAGAACACCAAATGTCATCAGTAACTTTTACAGTTTTAGAAACACTGGTTAAAAGAAAGAGGAATCTATAATTTTAGGCTGCTAATCAAAGTGAAATGAATTGTGTAACGAACAGTTTCAACTTTCATTACTGAGACAAAATAATTTCCCAGAGAAACCTACACTAAATAAGATTTCTGAAAACTGAAGCTAATAGATCCTACTGAATCCTCCACCATATGTTTCAAGTTCACTGGCCAAATGCAGCTTTACAAAGGTTGGTCTAAGTATAAGTTTTCAGTTCATTACTTATCAATGCAGTTCAATGCAATCTTGAGTATCAATCTAGAAGCTGACAACTGTGTGGAATAAAAGGCATCGCTCCATGTCTGGCAAGGAATATGAAAAATAAAGCCAGAAATAGTTCTTTAAAGTAATGACTGAACAAAAATTTCACGTTACCAGAAAGTGCATAGGAATTAGCCCGGATTAGCTGTCCTTGGTGATGTTCAGCACTAGAACAAGGCTCCTTTTACCCTGCCATAATGTGCCTCACAATCAGCATAACATTTCCATCTCTCACTCCAACTATCCTTTCTGTGCCTGATAGTGCGTTTACACAATTGGTTTATCCCCTAAGACAAGCTTGATTCAGGAGGCAATTCATATCCTAATTTGGCTGGTTTTCTTGATGCCTAATTTCCAAAGACAAGGCTCAGAAGTCAGATCCCAAGGCACTGCCTCGCCTAAAGGAACTCCCACTTAGTAATAACAGATTTGGAGGGAGCAAACCTGGTGATATTACATGCATATGTAGATTTCTTAACATCATTACACAAGTTAAGATGACTGCATATGTGTCATCCGCTATTAGAATCTATGATCTCTCTGGCCAAATAACTGCAGGGCAGCAATCACCTGATTTTCAGTTGCATCTCCTGACCTCCATTTCTGTGGTGGAGATCAGAAATAATTCTAACAGCAGCCCACCAGGCACGATGATCTTAAGCCAGACTTATGATATTTCATGCGCAGACACAAGAAACCATTTGCCCCAAGAAGAGTTGCTGCCACTTCAAATGTAGCAACACTTCCTGTTTGGCACCGGAGTTCATGTTTCTAAACACAAACGTAAAAGTCCTGTTAATAAGATTGCCAATTTTGGGTGAAAACTGCAATTTGCGATGTGTTAATTAATTTAGCTATAGCTATTAAATCAGATCCATCAGCCCATATGATCTCATCCTTCCAGAGTACCAAACCTACCATCTCATTGTGACAGCAACATCATCTCACTGAATGGCAGCTACCTGTCCAACAATGGCTTTAAGGTATTTTTCTCCCATTTCTCCCTACAAACAATATTTGACTAAAATTGCTTTGAAAACATTAATTTGCTTGTACAACAAACAACAATTTTACATTTATATAGCAGCTTTCATTTCAGAAGAATGTCTCAAAGCGCTTCAAAAAGCCGACTAGGAACCCAGGAAGGTGGGGGGAGAGGGAAAGATGACCGAAAGTCAGACAAACAGAAAGTTAGACTTTCAAGGCGGAGCAGAAAGGGGTGAGGCGTGATGGAGTTCTAGAGAGTGGAGGCAGAATGGCTAAAAGCTCACCCATCAATGTTGGGAAATAAAGTAATTGTTAAGCTCAGTGTCAGGCGATGTCTTTAGATAAAGGAAGTCTTCTGACTGGAGAACGTATATCCAGACATACATATCATTCCTATTCAACCTCCAGAGTTAGAGTTGGTTCATTTGTTATGGTATATAGGAATTAGTCCTGCATCAGCTATCTGGTGGATGAAGAGCAACCAGAGATGTCAGATTGCAAACCAGATTTTAGACAGTAACGGTCTACACAGTTAATTGTATGAAACTTTGGGAAAGTGTATAATTATGAATATATATAAATATTTCTTTGGAAATTGTACTGTACAATTAGCTCCATGCAAAAATTGTGAATGTTCACCTTTTGAGTCCATCACTATTTCATGCTGTTAATTAGAAAATTAAATGGGATAATATAAAAGGCTTAATCTTGAACTCCAATCTTTCAATGCTGAACAGCACTTTGAGCTAAGATTTTAGAGCAAGACCTTAAGAAAAATGCAGGCAATGGGAAAAATGAGAGGCAACTTCATATCAAATCTTGCCACCAAAAATAAATTAAAGATTATAAATACAATTAGATGATGTAAAAAAAACTATGATGCAATTCTTTATTTATGAGGAAGCAATGCAAGCCTATAAGATATTTTGCAAGCAAAATCAACTATAACTGGACTCAATTTGCACAAGCAAATTAAATTAAAAAAGGACATTTACACAGGAACGTAGGAATGCATAGGACCAAAAAAGTCCATTTGGTTGGTCCCTAAATTAAACAAATAATTTAAGAAATAAATAATCCCACATCATACCCTCAAATGAATTCTTCGTCAATCAGTTGTCCATTTCCCTGCCTCCCTGGGTAGTTTATTCCACATATTGATTCACTACTCTTGTAAAATATGCAAATCTGCTTTCTGAAGAGTTTAATTTATACTGAGATTAGAATTATTTAAATCGGTAAATCAAATTAAAGGATCTTTGTAAATCACTATTTTTAAAACTTAACGATTTGACACTCTCAGTCACTTCCTATTGACTTGTTTGAAGATTCTCATCGATACGAACAAAACAACTTACAGCTAGGAAGGATTGCACAGAGGTTTGCAGCATGTGGGAACGGCATTAGTCCTTTCGGTCCACTGAGCTTGCTCTGCTCATTTGACAACTCCTAGTATAGTCCAAAATCCAATGTCTTAAATAATTAATTCCAGAACAGTGCATTGTTTTCCCCTTTTAATGAAGCCAGGTTTGTAATCTTAACCTATTGGGAGGTGTTTATTTTAAATAAGACAGATGAGTATGCTCCTCTCGCCCTCAGCCAATTGTAGTTAAGAACCCAATAACCATTTCATCACATGGCTAACATATAAAGCCTGCTCAGGCAGCAAGTGGAACAATCAACTCCAGCTTTCTGAATCCACTAACATAAAAACAATAAGAGTATACCCCTTCTTTTCCTTCCAAAATTAAACAATATCACAAAATTGGTTTGGATGAAGGAGGAGTCCCTTCCACCTCCAAAATCATCTTTCCAGAACTGACCATATAAAATTATTAGTTAAATAATATCAAGTCTTAACTGTATAAATTAATTAGTTGCTACAATCAACACTCTTAGTTGACTACAGATAATAATAAAAGCGCTATATCAAATGCAAGGTTTATTATTAAAGAACTTCACAGTATACTGTAAAGTGAACTGACTGTATATGTTGTGGGCGAAACGCGGCAGTAATGGCGCACAGCAGTGTCCCACAAACGGTCTTGGATTGAGGGACCAATTTTTTTTTAAAAATGAACGAATTATTCCTCCCAGAAAAGTGAATCAATCGTCTAATAATTGGGTTCCTGCTTACTGCTAGGTAAACAGAGGCATGTGGAGTAAGGGAACTTGCCCAACGTTTCGCCCTGCCGGAAATCGAACCCAGGTCTCTCGCTTGCAAGGTAACTATTGAGCTACAGGACTCCACAAGAAATATGCTCTATTGTAAAACTAACAAAATCAAATTCACTTTCTCAATCTAAAATAGACTGTATCCTCCACCGCACCCATCAAAAATAAAGTTGTCTCACCTTGAGATAGGAGCCATAGTATTTTGTAACATATGGACTGTCGCACTGACTCAGCACTGTTATTTCCTGCTGAATATCTTCAATTTCATCTTCAGCTTCTTCAAGGTCAATATTTTTTATGGCCACAACTTTCTGAGTCCGATTGTCTATTCCTTTAAACACTTCACCAAAAGAGCCTTTTCCAATCTTTTCCAGTTTTGTGAATAATTCTTCAGGATCTGCCTTGAAACTCTAAGAAGAACAAAAAAGGCATTAGTAACTGACAATATTCCAATGAATAATTTATATCAAATGTACGGATTATTTACCTGCGTACCTATAAGCAAACACAGGACTAAAATTATTAAGTATTCTGCACATCAGCAATCCTCCATCACGATAGGAATTTAGGATATGTTACTATATTATGCTTCAGTTTTAAACACCTCCATTAGTATATGTTTACAGTTAAATTGAATACAGGAATGTTAGGAAACTTCATTCTTCCCATCCATGTGAGCCTGCCACTCTTGCAATAAAAAACTTCAATAGTTACTTTTATCATCCATCAAAAAAACTGAAGATGCCCTGTTAGCTTTACCTGGTAAAGGCATTTACTGTTTATTGTAGGACTTACTGTATAGTTACTGTATTTTATAAGCAAATGTGGCAGTCAATTGTTACACAATGTCCCACAAACAGCCATAACGTGAATGATCAATGCCACTTGGAGCTTTGTTGGGCAGTTTAGCAGGAGAAACTCCTTTCTGTTTTAGGGCCATGGGATCTTTACTGTCTTGTCCCACTGAACAGAAGACGGGTCCTCAATTTAATGTCTAATCTGGAGGACAGCACCACTGACAATGTAGCATTCCTCCAGCACTGTACTGTGTCTGCCTAATCCAGTTGTAGGATTTGTAGGAAACCCAACCTTCTGAGCCAGGCTAACACCAAAAAGAAACTATATAAAAAACTTATGGAGAACAGAGATTTGGAATTTTTTTATATAAGTCAAGTGGAGGAGCTAGCACCAGCATAGTCTCAATGGGCTGAGTGGCCTTGTTCTGTATAGTAATTTCTAATAATCTACCTGCTGATTACCCTGAAACCCATGTTTAGACCTTTCTATTTTCCATTTCAGCTTTCCAGCACATCTCTAAAGCTTTAATATGGATTGCAAATTGTAGATTCTAGATTGTTGGGTTTAGTAGTAGATGTTTAGGCTTAAGATTTCAGTAATAGTCATCTTGGTTTCAATGGGTTTATCATTGTGTTATTAGGTTTTATGGAACATCTTGTATTGTAGCAGCTAGGGAGAAAAGCCCAAGAAAAATGGGATAATAAGTAGATTAAAAAGTCAGAGTAAGTAAGCCACAGAGCAAAAGCTAATGGATGGTGGATGATGCAATCCAAAGGGCTGCTGATCCACTCTAAAATTCCCTCTTATTCCCCACAATAAATTACCCTGCAGTGCACTAACAATTTAATCTTCTTCAAATACAAATGTGTTAAATTTAGTTATATTCCAGGACGATGTTCACTACGATGCTTAGGATATGGGCTTTCAAAATCACGGCCCACCAATGGCATCACCCTTTGGCCATCATCCCAATGCCAAAGGTCAGCACCAATGACATCACTGATGTTAGATAGAAAGGAAAGCTGGATTTGATAGAAAAGAGAGTCCGGGGAGTTTGAGGAGTTCAGACCCACAAGAGAGAAGATGTTGACGGGCGTATGGCTTCCGTCTTGCCGACATTCAGCTGCAGGACATTTGCGCTCATCTAGGCCTTGATGTCCATCAAACAAGCTGACGGGACGATGGGGCACTGGGAGTCGAGGCTGGAGAAGTAAATTTGGGTGCCATCTGCATACATACGGAAATTGACCCCATGTCTGCAGATGATATCGCTGAGAGGGAGCATGTAGATGAGGAAAAGAAAGGAGTCAAGGATGGAGTCTTGGGGTACCCCGCAAGTGACTGGGCCGGAGCAAGAGGAAAAACTATTGGCCAAGATGAAGTGCTGGAGGTTCATTAACTAGGACTCGGACCATGTGAGTGGGGTCCCACTAAGGTAGATGAGAGAGGAGAGGTGGTGGTGGAGGATGGTTTGGTCAACTGTGATGAACGCAGCAAAGAGGTCCAGGAGGACGAGGAGGCAGAGGGAGCCCTTGCCAGAGAGAGAGGGTGTCATTTGATACTAGAAGGTTGAGGGGTGATCTAATGATGTTTTTAATAATAAAGGGTTTCAATAGGATTCAGAGAAACTATTACCTCCGGTGGAGGAATCCAGAACAAGCAGCCATAATCTTACAATTACAGCTAGGCCAATTAGGAGTGAAATCAGGGGACAGTTTTTCACCCAATGGCCAGTGGAAATCTCTCCTTAAAAGGCTAAGGATGCTGGATCCAAATTCTCAAGACTGAGGTGGATAGATATTTGTTAGGTAGGGTATCAAGGGATATAGGGCAAGGGCGGGTAATTGGAGTTTAGGTACAGATCAGCCATGATCTTACAGAATGGCAGAACAGAGGGGCTGAATGGGCTACTCCTGTTTCTCTGTTTCTATTTCATTTAACCAGAATTACTTCAATCTAGTTTTAAGATGTTGCCTACGTTCCTCCGGGTGTGGCCTCTTCCTCAACCCCCGAGTCCTCTGCTCCATCCTCGGCAGCCGTGCCTTCAGCCACTATGCCCTGAGGCTCTTGAACTCCCTTCCCCACTCCCTTTGCCTCACTCCCTCCCTTCCTATTTCAGGTCTCTGCTGAAGACCTTTCTTTTCGACCACGCCTTTGGTCACCTTCCTCCCCCTCCTTCTGGCTCGGTCCTGGGATCTGTTACTGTGAAGCGCTCTGAGACGCCGTCCGGCGTGGAGGGCGCTATATAAATCCAAGTTGTTGTTGTTATGTTCTGCACACTTCAATTGTTGCAGTTTTCTAAACCGATTTCATTGCTGCACGTTTTCTCATTAATACTGGTGTATCCTCTACCATCCGAGTTACTGATGCAAGAACAATGCAGACATTTTCTATCTTGAAGTTCGAAAATTCTTGTCTTATGAATACTAATAACCTTCAATACTTTCACACTTCATAATTAACCGTCCCATTGCATCTCTTCTACCATTGAGTGGCCGCAAATATTATCTGCTTGTAATCAGCATACCAAAGATCTAATTTTCCTTCCTATGTGCAATTTCTTTTCAAACAGGTTTTTTTAAAAAAACATAAGCTTTTACTTTCCATCAATAATTCTAAGGGTCTTCATTTCCCAATCCTGAACTCTCAATGCTTTTTCTTTGTGAATAAATCAACTTATTTAGGTCACGTCTTGATATTTTAACCTCCTACTCCTAAAATAATAATAGTAATGCTTGCATTTGATATAGCGCCTTATCATGTCTTCGAGACAGCTCAAAGTGCTTCACAGAATACACTGTAAAGTGAATTGACTGTATATTTTGTGGGCGAAACGTGGCAGCCAAATACGAACAGCAGTGTCCCACAAACAGTCATGGATTGAGGGACCTATGTATTAGAATTTTTTTTGAAGGAATTATTACCACCGGAAAAGCGATACGACAATCGACCAGGTTCCTACTTACTGCTAGGTAAACAGGGGTGTGTGGAGTAAAGAAATTTGTCCAACAATTCGCCCTGCCGGGAATGTAACCAGGTCTGTCGGTTGCAAGGCAAGCGTTTTAATCACTGAGCTATAGGACTCCATAATTTAACTGGTGCTCAGTCAGTTTCTAAATAAATGAGGTTGAGATGCTGCAGCTTTACCTACTCTTAGTTCCTCTTAAAATAGATAATTTATTTGTCTATTATTTATTACAAATTTCTACTTTCACAGGGGCCCAATTCAGACCTTTTTCCTGTTCAACGCAAATACTGTAGTGATAATTCTAAGCCAAAGCCCCAATGGGTGGTAGTCCTAGCTGGACAAGCAGCAGGAAATCTTGCCAGACCGCAATATCAATGGCAAGATAGGCAATTTTAGCTGGTTAAGACACCAGCAATAACCCCATCACACACGCTGGGCTCCCCAAAGCCTTGGATCTTGCAAATTTTAATATTGTCTATTAAAATTAACAATATTAAAATTGTAAGAAAATGATAATTTACATTCCCATCATTGTTGCCATGATCATCTCCCTTCTATACGATTACTTTCCTATGTGGACAGTAGGGAATCAAGATAATTAACTCATATTTTAAGACTTAGTACACAGAGGATGACCTTACTCCGTTTGGTTCACTCGTCTTCAGGCCAACGAGTAAGCTCACACATCATTGAGATAACCCTATCAAGATATGATGGATAAAAAAAATTGAAGAAGCAAATTGCTCTTGTACCGTTACAAACAAAACAAGGCTTAAAACAAGACCATTTTCTGCACATTAAAACATTTTGTGGAGGAAAAATTAATGTTTTATCTAAAGATAAAGGTCCAAATGTTCTAAGTGAACCATTCAGCAACACAGTCTGAATTCTTCTCAAAAGTCAGAGGTGCAAACGAAACCATTTTCTCGAACTAAAAGTAACTTGCCAGAGCTGTTTGAAGATGTGATGTTTCAAAAGTGATCTGTGCCTTGAACAGTATCAATCATACAGATGAAGAATAGACCCTTGGAAGTGAACAGAGAAGGCACCTCTGGAATCATAACTTAAACCATGAGTCACTACCATCAGGAAACGAACAGAGAAATTTGTAGGGGAGAGGAGAGGAAGAATTCTCACTCTAATGTACATGGTGCCCTTGGAGCATTGGTGCAGCAGAGGTCTGAATTGTTATATTCACAGAACGTTTCTAAAAGCCTCCGAAGTGCAAAATAGAGCAAAACACCCAATGTGTTTACTAGAAATGTGGCTTTCATGATCCAACTTATTTTACTACTCTACTGTAATAAATAATTGAATTTTATATTACCTCATGTCAAAATGTGATTCACATCAAAGAGTGCTTCACAAGTGATTACTGTCAAGTGTAATGAATGTTTTTGCAACAAATTTGGGCCAGCAAGGTCCCGCGAACAACCATAATCATTCCTACATTTGATATAATGGTCAACAAAAATCAAATTTTACATTGCACAATTTGTACCAGAGGAATCATTTTTTGGGGTGTCTGGCACACATGGAAACCTATCACCATGCTTAAGAGTATCCAAACCGAACAGAGTTCCATGCATCCCACCTGCACACGGAAATTTTAGAGATAGATGGTTGGCATGGAATGCGCATTCT